AGTATGGGTCCATCTAGTTCATCTTATACACTACAAGTGATTTTCCACAATGTGGAGGCACAGAGGTACATTTCGGACTCCTTACCTCTTCCGGTTCCAAATTTGGTCCATTTGATGTTCCTCCCTTGGATTGAGACCGTTTCACTCATGTTTGTCCTCATAGTCATGTGTAGAAGCTATTAATCCATGTTTGGTAAGTATGGGTCCATCTAGTTCATCTTATACACTACAAGTGAGTTTTCCACAATGTGGAGCACAGAGGTACATTTCGGACTCCTTACCTCTTCCGGTTCCCAAATTTGGTCCATTTGATGTTCCTCCCTTGGATTGAGACCGTTTCACTCATGTTTGTCCTCATAGTCATGTGGAGAACCTATTAATCCATGTTTGGTAAGTATGGGTCCATCTAGTTCATCTTATACACTACAAGTGAGTTTCCACAATGTGGAGGCACAGAGGTACATTTCGGACTCCTTACCTCTTCCGGTTCCCAAATTAGGTCCATTTGATGTTCCTCCCTTGGATTGAGACCGTTTCACTCATGTTTGTCCTCATAGTAATGTGGAGAACCTATTAATCCATGTTTGGGTAAGTATGGGTCCATCTAGTTCATCTTATACACTACAAGTGAGTTTCCACAATGTGGAGGCACAGAGGTACATTTCGGACTCCTTACCTCTTCCGGTTCCCAAATTTGGTCCATTTGATGTTCCTCCCTTGGATTGAGACCGTTTCACTCATGTTTGTCCTCATAGTAATGTGGAGAACCTATTAATCCATGTTTGGGTAAGTATGGGTCCATCTAGTTCATCTTATACACTACAAGTGAGTTTCCACAATGTGGAGGCACAGAGGTACATTTCGGACTCCTTACCTCTTCCGGTTCCCAAATTTGGTCCATTTGATGTTCCTCCCTTGGATTGAGACCGTTTCACTCATGTTTGTCCTCATAGTCATGTGTAGAACCTATTAATCCATGTTTGGGTAAGTATGGGTCCATCTAGTTCATCTTATACACTACAAGTGAGTTTCCACAATGTGGAGGCACAGAGGTACATTTCGGACTCCTTACCTCTTCCGGTTCCCAAATTTGGTCCATTTGATGTTCCTCCCTTGGATTGAGACCGTTTCACTCATGTTTGTCCTCATAGTCATGTGGAGAACCTATTAATCCATGTTTGGGTAAGTATGGGTCCATCTAGTTCATCTTATACACTACAAGTGAGTTTCCACAATGTGGAGGCACAGAGGTACATTTCGGACTCCTTACCTCTTCCGGTTCCCAAATTTGGTCCATTTGATGTTCCTCCCTTGGATTGAGACCGTTTCACTCATGTTTGTCCTCATAGTCATGTGTAGAACCTATTAATCCATGTTTGGTAAGTATGGGTCCATCTAGTTCATCTTATACACTACAAGTGAGTTTCCACAATGTGGAGGCACAGAGGTACATTTCGGACTCCTTACCTCTTCCGGTTCCCAAATTGTCCATTTGATGTTCCTCCCTTGGATTGAGACCGTTTCACTCATGTTTGTCCTCATAGTCATGTGTAGAACCTATTAATCCATGTTTGGTAAGTATGGGTCCATCTAGTTCATCTTATACACTACAAGTGAGTTTCCACAATGTGGAGGCACAAGAGGTACATTTCGGACTCCTTACCTCTTCCGGTTCCCAAATTTGGTCCATTTGATGTTCCTCCCTTGGATTGAGACCGTTTCACTCATGTTTGTCCTCATAGTCATGTGTAGAACCTATTAATCCATGTTTGGATAAGTATGGGTCCATCTAGTTCATCTTATACACTACAAGTGAGTTTCCACAATGTGGAGAGGCACATTTTGCCAAGTTACAACATTTTCCGGTATTTTACGTTTACCAAAGCATAGTGAGTCTCATCATTGTACTGTTTGTCCTTTAGCTAAGCAAAAGCGTCTGTCTTTTCCTTGAATAGTCATTTGTCTTCATCGCCTTTTGATCTCATTCACCTAGATACATGGGGTCCTTTTTCTGTCGGGTCTGTTGAAGGTTACAAATATTTCCTTACTCTTGTTGATGATTGTACTCGGGTTACTTGGATATACATGATGGGGAATAAAAGTGATGTTTCAACTGTTTTTCCAGCTTTTCTTAATCATGTTACCACTCAATATCATTGCACTGTTAAGAAAATTCGTAGTGACAATGCACCTGAACTTGCCTTTACTGATTTGATTCACGCACATGGCATCATTCATAAGTTATCTTGTGCATATACACCTCAACAAAATTCAGTCGTTGAACGTAAACATCAGCGTTTGCTTAATGTTGCACGTGCATTGCTTTTTCAATCTAATGTTCCTCTCGTTTACTGGACTGATTGCATTTATACTGCGGTTTTTCTTATCAATCGAACCCCTTCTCTATTATTGAAGGTTTTGGCTAAACATCACCGGATTATTATTTTCTGAGATCTTTTGGCTGCTTATGCTACGTTTCTACCTTACCAAAAGATCGTAATAAGTTTTCTCCTCGAGCTGAACCTTGTGTTTTTCTCGGATATCCTCCTGGTGTTAAAGGTTACAAAGTTTTAAATCTGGACACAAATGTGGTTTCTGTTTCTCGAAATGTGGTTTTTCATGAAAAGATTTTTCCTTTTAAGGACTCTCCTTCATCTTTTCCGATTGTTGATTTGTTTAACAAAACGATTTTGCCATTGCCTATTCATGTTGCTTTAGATCATATCATTGTTACTCCTCCTTCTGACTTGTTACCTGCTTTGTCTCATGATTCTGTGCCATTACCTGATGCATCTCCTCATACTCATTCATCTGCATCACACTCTAATGCCACACCTATATCACTTGAGACTGTTTCACGAGGTACAGGTCAGAGTCGTCTGCTCAATGTAAGACCAAAGCGAACAGCACGAGCTCCCGGTTACTTATCTGAGTATCATTGCGCTCAAATCTCCTCTTCTTCTTCTGAGATTCCTTCCACCACAGTTTATCCCTCTCTCTTCTGTTCTTTCCTACTCAGCCCTTAAACCAATTTTCAGACCTATGTTCTCTCATATTCCCTTGAAACAGAACCGACTACTTTTAAGCAAGCCATGTTATCACCACGTTTTCGTCATGCCATGAGTGAAGAGCTAGAAGCTATGGAGGTTAACAGAACGTGGACTATTGAAAGCTTGCCTCCGGGTAAGAATGTCGTGGGTTGCAAGTGGGTCTATACGATCAAGTATAAACAATGGTACGATAGAGAGATATAAAGCTCGTTTGGTTGCTAAGGGATTCACGCAGCATGAGGGTGTGGATCACAGATACTTTTTCTCCTGTTGCGAAAATGGCTAGTGTTAAACTCTTGCTTGGTCTTGCGGCTATCAAAGGATGGAGTTTAACGCAGATGGATGTCTCTAACGCTTTTCTTCATAGTGATTTGGATGAAGAGATCTACATGTCTCTGCCTCAGGGATATACACCAGCTCCGGGAGAAGTCCTTCCCCCTAATCCTGTCTGCCGACTACATAAGTCCTTATACGGCTTGAAGCAAGCAAGCTTCAAGGCAGTGGTATCATTGTCTCTCTGCAGTGTTGGAGCGTGTTGGCTTTATTCAGTCTCAAGCCAATAACACATTGTTTGTCAAGCAATCTGGTAACAAGTTTACTGCTATCTTGGTCTACGTCGATGATATGATTGCCAGCAACAATGATGATGATGTTGATCTGCTCAAGACGTTTCTGCAATCGTAATTCAAGATCAAAGATCTCGGTCCTCTCCGTTTCTTCTTGGGTCATGAAATTGCCAGAACTTCAGCAGGAATCTCGGTTTGCCAGAGGAACTATGCTCTGAATCTTCTCTCTGACACTGGTCTTATGGCTGGTAAACCATGTTCAGTTCCAATGGATCCCGTGGTCAAACTAAGCAAGGAGTCAGGCGTTCCTCTCGATGATCCGACTCCTTATCGTGCCTTGAATGGTCGTTTGCTTTATTTGGCGATCACTCGGCCTGACATTACCTTTGTGGTACATTGTCTCAGTCAGTTTATACACACACCAACTGATGTTCATCTCACGGCTGCTCGTCGGATCCTCCGCTACATCAAAAATGACCCAGGCCAGAGATTGTTCTATTCTGCTAAATCGGCTCTCTGCCTCAACGCTTTCTTTGACTCTGACTATTCCACTTGCCCTGACACACGAAGATCTATTACTGGCTACTGTGTCTATCTTGGCAGTTCTCTTATTACGTGGAAGTCAAAGAAACAGGATATCGTGAGCCGCAACAGTACAAAAGCAGAATATCGGAGCATGGCACATACCACTTGTGAGCTTCTTTGGCTTCACCAGCTTCTCACTGATTTGAAGATCACAGTAACTGCTAAGGCCGAACTCTTCTGTGATAGTAAGTCGGCAATCTACATAGCGACAAATCCCGTGTTCCATGAACGGACGAAACATATCGAGGTTGATTGTCACATTATCCGGGATCAGGTGAAGAATGGCTTCTTCACACTCATGCATGTTGGCACTACAAATCAACACGCTAATATCTTGACAAAGCCTCTTCAGCCAGGGCCGTTTCATTCTCTTCTTGTTTGCATGTCCATTTCAAGTCTGTTTTCTCCTTCTCGTTGTCCAATCCCACATGCTTGAGGAGGGTGTATTAGAGTGTATAGACGGTTTATACCGGTTTAGTCACCTGATAAGTTTCCTTTTGCTTACTAAGTGTATATATATATAGCTCTTGTACAGTCATTGTGAATTAATGAGAAATATCAGATTTACATCTTAATATAACTTTTACAGGAAAATGAAGTAAAAAAAATTGATGTAACAGTTGGTTGACGAGTTTCAGATGTGAGAGTCATCATCAGAAGAGCAGGCGCAGAGCCTTCGTGTAATATGTGAGTGCCCAAAGAGTGAACATGTTCCTATAGGTTGGATAATGTAGCAGCATATTCATTTTGTAAGCTCCCCTTATTTCCTGCCAAATATACATTTACACTCATACCAAAAAAAAAACATTTACATACATAAATAAAAACAAGATAAATTCTTTAAGTTGCCACTAAAATAAGTTTGTGCTTCAAAAATAATATCACTAGTTTTAGTTTTTTCCAAAATATTAGTAATAAATAATCCCTTTCCAAAAATACAACAAATACTAAAATATGATTTTCAAGGGTTTATATTTTAAAATTTTGGGGTTGAGTTCAGAATTTTTGGTTTGGAGTTTAGGGGTTTTTTTTATTTATTTTTTCCATTTCTAGTTTTGTGGTATTCTTTGAAAATAAAACTGGTGATGGTAATTTTTTGGAATAAAAACTCAATTTTGTGGTAATTTTAGAATTGCCCTATAAACAATTGTTACAATTCCAGATTTTATCTTTTACGAAGAAAGTCTTTTAATATAACTAGGATAACAAAAACCATATACCTGTTGTGGGAAATCGCCGTTATCCATCTGCGAATTGATCAAGACTTTTGCGGCACGATGAACAGGCAAAGGGTCTCTCTCCATCTGACCACCCATAATTAGAACCATCATTGCTTGTCCTGTGTTCACCACATTGGTCTTGTTATTATCCAAAGGAGTATATTTTTTATAAGGGCAAGAGAGATAACTCTCTCCCCAACCGCCTTCTACATTTTGTATCTCGAGAAGGAACCAAACCGCTTTACGAACCGCCTCACAGTTCTCGTAAGTTTTGCCTGAAGCCACTAGACCTCGGACTGCAAAGAAGGTTCCATAGATGAAACATACACCCCAGTTCCCATACCATGAACCATCTGCGAATTGATCAAGACTTTTGCGGCACGATGAACAGGCAAAGGGTCTCTCTCCATCTGACCACCCATAATTAGAACCATCATTGCTTGTCCTGTGTTCACCACATTGGTCTTGTTATTATCCAAAGGAGTATATTTTTTATAAGGGCAAGAGAGATAACTCTCTCCCCAACCGCCTTCTACATTTTGTATCTCGAGAAGGAACCAAACCGCTTTACGAACCGCCTCACAGTTCTCGTAAGTTTTGCCTGAAGCCACTAGACCTCGGACTGCAAAGAAGGTTCCATAGATGAAACATACACCCCAGTTCCCATACCATGAACCATCTGGCATTTGCATGTCCTCTATGTATCTCACACCCTTCGTTATAAACCTATGGACCTCTTTTGTTCTGTGCTCTGGAAACTGTTTCACGAATCGAGCCAACACTACTATCGCTGAACCCGTGCATTCTAGATACTCCTGCTCGATGATTGTGTCCTCCATAAACTCAATCATCTAAAGTTAAGAGACATATTTGATTTTGAGACATATTTTTCATTTTATATCTAAAGTTAAGGTAATCCGCTTGGTCCAAGTGCAGACGTAAAAGTAAATAATTATGTAGTAACCTTATAAAAACAGTTTTAACAAAAAAAAAAAACCTTATAAAAACAGCAAATTGGTCATGTGGTGTATTTTCGGAAAAACAATTCGTAAATTGTTTTTATTTTTGTTAACAACAAGTAAAATGCGGGGTTGAGTCCGAATGGCGATGACAAATAGAATAAACTACTCCCTATGTTCCATATTATAAGCAGTTTAGGGACAATGTATCTGCAATCATCTGAATGTATCTAGATGCATTTATAATATGGGACATAGTTTCTATCAAGCTACATGCATGCAACTAGAAATAAACAAAAAATCAAGCGTAATACTGTTTTTTTTTTTTTTTTGAAAAATAGGTTTATATCAGAGCCAGGTTTCAAGCGTAATACTTATGTAAAATGTTTGAGATTTTTTCTTGTCAGAGCATAACATTTAGTTGTTATAATGCTATAAATTTGTTAATATAAACGTCATTCAGTTACCAATCTAGCTCAAATTCACAAATTACGTTGGTATACAAATATATTTTAAAACGAATAAATGGTAAGTACCTCTAGCCATTTTTTCCCACTTGCTGCCTCCCATATGGCTATACCTCCATTATCGCTCTGTAGTTACGATAAGATAATTACTGACAGAACAAACATGTGAAATTTATATTAACAAATACTATACCCTTTCTGACATGTCAGCAATATAAAATTTCGTTTTATGAAATTAATGTAACTTTTACCTAACTATGTAATTTGTGAATTTGAGCTAGATCTGTAACTGAATGATGATGATTTTTTTTTAAGGATTTAGATTTCATTTTGGAGGATTTGGGGTTTAGTTTTGAAGGTTATTAGATTACAAAAACTTATATTTTGTAAGTTTATTAGGTACTTTTGAGATTTCCAAGAGCCAATTTATATTTGTATGGGCATAACTTCTTTTTAACTTTTTTTAGTTCTCGAAAAGTATAATACAATTTACCTGCAAGTAGAGAAGCATATTGACGGCATCATAAAGCCTCTCCACATCCATCTTCTCACCAATAAACTCAGATGGCATGTTGTCAAATATCAGGCAGCACTGGCCACACACGCGAAAATAGTAATCAGATCTTTAGAGCAATAAGATGAACACAAAGGAAGAAATTCAAAGAGAGAAGAAGGGCACCTCTAAACTCTCAGAAATACAATCTGAAACTGGCCATCCTTGATCTTTATCCGAAAAACTCCACCCTCCTTTTGATATGTCTCTAAACATTTTGATATAATCACCAGGAGGATTCTCTGTAAGCTGAGATTTCCTCAAGTAAGAGTATCCCTTTATGAGCGTTGATCTAATCTCGTCGTCAACATCAGCGGCTAACATGACTTGTAACAAGAAGGCTGTATCCCATATTTGGCTACCAAAAGTCTGCACATGATGTTAATGATTAGTGATATCTCGAACAGATGCAACCGGAGAAGTCCAAACCAAGAAGGACCAAGAAGGACCAAGAAGGACCGTGCTTTAACGTAAGGAAAGCAAGACTCCCTTTTTGTAACAAGGATAAAACGTAAGTAAAAGAAACATCATGTGCTACTAGAATCATATTTATTTTCTTTTTTGAGAAAAGCATAACGCTACTATAATCATAATAGGACCAAATGGTTAACCTGGATTTTCAGGCCATCCTCCGCAATCCATATGAAACCAGGGACTCGAGCAAGATGTTTTTTGAAATAATCACTCTCTGGATCTTCAACCCAACAAGCAAGCATATGAAACACCTACGTATTTATCCCAAAGAAAGGAAAAAACATAAGACCTCTAACAAAAAAAAAAAAAAAAACATATCACCTTTTGAAAAATACCCTAAAATAGATCCAAAAAAGTTTTTATTCTACATTTAGGAAACTAAATTTTTAAAATTCAAAAGAATACATAAACTGTTTTGGTAAAATTTGTTTACCCTAAATAAGTTATACATAAAATTAAAACATTATGTTTTTGGTTCTCTTTTTCCAAATGATGGTTTATATTTTTTCTATTAATTAGAAGTTTTGAATCATGTTTATGTTGAATTTTGTGTTATTATTGAAAAAAAAACTTATGAGTCTACTTTTGGAACAAAAACTTAGAAATGGTATATTTTAGAAAATTGCCCATCACGTTTCTTGGTCTCACTTTTTTTTTTTTTTTTTAAATGCTAAAATTGTTTACCTTTGGCACAGCTCCACCCGTAATGTATTGGGTTGCTTCATCATGGTAGTGCATGATTTTCATTGCCGTTCGAACAGCTTTTTCTCTAATGAGCTTGTTGAAAGGCCATCGATTTAAGATATTCTCCGAAAACATATGAACACTTTTCCAAAAAAAATCTTGTACAAATGTTTGTGGATAGTATAAATCTTCATGCGTTATCATCACGTTCGTTAGTACCAATCACCAATTAATCTTGAAATACTACTTATTTACATACAAGGCAATTTATTCATCGGTCACTGCATATATATGACTTAAAACTACCTTTGCGCATTGATTGCGAGCTTGGCTCCAATCAATATCCGCATAAGCCTGAGGATAAAGCTCTTCACGAAGCTTTAAGACGAGAGGTGTTGATTTAGCTACAAATTTTTTGCCATACAAATAGGACAATGCCAAAAAAGTATCCCGTAAATAAACCCAGAGAGTGCCTGCACGTATATGAAAATATTTGCAAAGCTAAATTAAATAAACTTAAAATAAGAAAAAAAAATTGTAACCAGTGCCATAGATAAGAGTTAATTCAAATCCATACTTCCACTAATAGGAAACCAAGAAGGAATGAACCAGAACTTTGGTGGTATTGGTTTGCAGCCAGACCATTCATACACTCCAAGAACCTAATAATTTTAAGTGAAAACAATCAATAAGGAACATTAATAACCCACTAAAGATAGATTATTCTTTAACCGGTATATGTAACGTACCGAAAGCCAAGCCTTTCCGAACAATGGCGTATAAGTAGCACCACCGTGATCAAGGATCCATTTATGAGCCCTTGCACAAGCACTTTGTTGACCATCATGATCAGGTTCTACTCCAAAAATTCTTAGGCAGATGTAGTTGATGACCGTGCAGAACATAAAACTGTGGCTTTCGATGTGTATTCCCCACCCACCATCCTCGTTCTTTATAATAAGATTTGATCAATTTTGAAAAGAATGAAAAAAAAAACATAAAAACGTTATAGTCACTTGGCAAAAAAAAAAAACTGTGGAGAGCAACTTTTGAGAAGAATTGAAAAAAAAACTCTCAAACTAACTAGTTTTGAAAAGATATAGTAGGTGTTTTATCATAAGTTTTATAATATTTTAGAAAAACCACTACTATAATTTTATAAAGAAAATCAAGTCTCTGGGTTTATTTACGGGATACTTGTTTAAAAGACTCTTTCTATCGAGTCAGGTACCTGATGGTTGTACAAGTAACGCAGCATCTCTTTCCGGTGCTCCTGAGAGAAGATCTGATCCAGATGGCCAGTGATATACAAGCATATGACCTAATATAATTTTGCACCATATGTTATTTTTCTTGTATTTTTAACTATATCAAACTTAGTTAATAGATCAGCTCACAAATGGGGCGTTGAAGAACATGCAACCAGCATTTTCAGCAGGCCAATGTCCATCATCAGCTTGCAATGCCGCCATATAATGTATTCCTCTTCTTAGTGCCGCCCTCGCTTCTTCGTACGTTATTTTCTCTGCATCCTCTATTTTAACTCGAGGAATCTTCTGCTCGAACTTCTTCTCCCATAAAAACTGCAAAAACAGTTGTGTTTTGTTTCTCACAATTCTGCCGTATAGACCAAGTTACAGTCAATTATCTGTGGTGAAGTGTTTTCTTTTTACCTGCATACGCCAAAGGAGATCCGTACTAGCCTTGAAAGTTGACCTATTTTGTGAGAAATTTTGGCGAGCCTCCACAACCTCAGCAAGTTCCTCTGGAGAGCCTGCGTTGACATCAAACTCCCATATCTGCCTTCCGAGAAATTTGTTGGTGGTGCACAAGTAAGGGTTATCTCCTGCCTTAGCTCCGATTCTCAGCCTCCACATCTTTGTTTAGAAAGAACTCTATTATGTATTTCAGTATTTGTGTTAGGATTTATCCTTTTTATATTTGTACATACTATTGACAATGTTTTCCTTTATTACTTTAACTGTTCTGCGAGATCGTAACATCTCTTAACTAGGCCCCGGTTAAGTCCACTCTGATTATGGATGAATTAAATAGCACATATCTGTATCCATTTAATAATGGGATCTGTATCTCATAATAATTAGCATTTATTAATTTAATAGTTTCAGCTAGAATCTGAAAAAACTTTAATTAATTAAAAATAGTTTATATATATATATATTGTTTATATAATGATTATAACTTATTGTGATCATTTTATATAATTTATTTGTAAGAACCGAATTATAAAATATTAAATAGTAAATGAAAGGAATTCTCATATTTAACATAAAAGTTTGGGCCAAATAGGATAATAATCTATATAGAGTTGGATGCGGCTTGACATATCCGATAGTTATAACTCATAATATCATAATTATATGTTTAATATTGGTCAAATGTTAACATGTCTTAACACATCAAGTTAATTAAAAATAATATTAGAAAAAACTGACGAAATAGTTACCAAACGATTAACCAAATAATAAAAGAAAATTTCGAATTGTCCAATTTTTAAATTTATAACAGTCTAATTTTTCAAAAGTCTAATTTTTCAATTTTCTAATATTCCGCATAGACAAATTCCTTAAAATGAACTTTTTTTAAATCATTCTTAACACGTAGGAGTTAACTCATAGAAAACTAACCAAATAATTGTCAAATAACTAACCAAATAATAGAAAAAAAAACTTTTTTTTAATGGTGAAATGTCCTAATTTTCAATATTTCAATTTTTAGCAAGTTTAACATTAAATTTTCTAATATTTAGATTTGATGAAATAATAAAAAGAAAAAACTAGAAGTTTCTTTATTAGCGTTTGACCCACAATTTGTGGTCAAAAGCAAAAGCAACCTACTCTATTTTCCAATTTATCTTCACCCCATTTTTTCTCAGTATTAATAAAAATGTCATTACTTTTTTGTGTGTGGTCTACAGCAGAGGTCTACGTTCTCCACCAGAAGACCAGTTGAACCTCATCTTCTACACTTATTAACAAAACTGCCACTCTCATCAATAAACTAACCACCATTTTCAACCAACTCCAAGCTTTTAATGCTTTATATTCATAATTAATTGTGAAACTCCAAACATAATCTTACATCCCTTACACTCTAACTGTTCCATTTTCTCCCCATTTTCATCCCAAAAACTCTATAATTCAACTTTTGAAAATTTCAAGTTCTTGATTTTCTAATAATCGGCTTTCTGGCATATCTTTACCACCACTGAACGGTTCTCAAGGCTTAAAGAGACAGTTTCAGCCCTCGGCAGCCCTAAAGACGACGGCCAGATAGTGGTTTATTCCATTTTCGTTTTTTTCAGATCTGTGTCGAAAACGTAGATCACTAGGTGAGGTCTATAGGTCAACAGAGAGGTTAGTTTTGCAATTGATTATGACAACTCTGTGGAGTTAGACGTCATAGGGAGGACTAAAAAATGCCTTTGAAAACAAAAAAAATTGACGTAAACCTCAAGAAAATGTCTACTTTGAAAACATGTTAGTTTTGCAATTGACCAAGTGAGAGCTTTTTTTTCTAGGTCTACAGATGAGGTTTATTGGTGAAAGAAGTTAGTTTTGCAATTGACTGAAGTTCAATTTTTCACTTGAGTTGATGCGGCATCTATGGGATGAGTACAAGTAATAATTCCCTAAGACAACTAGTGTTGCAAGTGCACAACATATAATTGTAGTATTTAGGGGTCGAACCACAAGGGATTGGATTTCACACATTACATAATCATAGAGTTTAAATGACTAAGCTAAATCAAAAGATGCAAGGGTTTGTGTTTGTTTAGAACACGCAAAAGAAATAACAATGCAATTCTATACAAGCAACATTATTGAACTATTGAAAACTCTTTTGAAAACATGAGCCAAGTCGATTGAAAAGTTTGTTAAAATCCGATTCTTTTGAACTCAAAACACTAAGGAAGGATTATTCCACTTTCGTGGTTCCAATCCCCTATGTCTCTTAAACCAATGGGCTCAGCTTTCGTTGGTCATTGTAGAGTGAGACATGCATTACATCCAAGTAATGATTGTTCACAAAACTCTTTAGGTCTACTTTCGTAGCCTAAAACGATTTGCCCATCAAATATATGTCCGGAGATATAACAAGCTTTTGGAGAGTATATCAACCTAAAATCAAGTCACTAGTTAGCTACTCTAGCAACAAGCATTAAGCATAAATAAAGATGGAGAACCATAGGGTTTCCCCTTTTAACAATCGATTTTCGATGGCCATTATATCACGTCCTCATTGGAAGGATCCATAATTCAACAATGAGTCTTAGATAGTAGATGAAGTCTCATGAATCCTTAGAGAGAGAGGCGGCGGAATATGGACTAAACCACGCCTCACCCTTAGGGAGAAATCTCTACTTCTAGACTATATAAATTGAAACATGCAAGCTATATACAAATGCAAAAGAAGAAAAGAAAGAAGAAGGAGACCACCTAAGTGGCTCCGAACTTTATTGAATAAGTGTTTCTTGTTATGCGGCTGGTGATTCTTATTACAAGAGGCTAAAAGCAAGTATATATAGGTAGAGAGCGGGTCTAGGTCGGCAAAGTTGAGCGCGCGCAGAAGAGGAAAGTTTCCATTTCTCTTTAGCCGCTTGAGCTTGCTCTCCAAGTTCTTGAATGGGCCGCGTTCAGGCCAATGGAAGCTTCTGGATTGAGTTATGCTAGTGTCAAGATGAGCCAAGGCCTTGGGCGCGGTATCTCGGGCCTCTTGATCCATCAAAGTCTCCATGGGCTCTACTTAGGCGCTCGTCGGACATGTCTTGGTAGAAAATAAGTTCCGGTCCAACGAGTGATCCAAATGACCTCTTTCCACTTCGCCGCGGGTCATGACTCAAATATCTATCTTTCCATATAAGAATCATGACTTTTGGACGTCGGGAAGGCATGAATATGCGGTCGTACTTCGGATGCTCCGGTTTGGTCTTTAGCGAGAAATGTAGATTTGGTGCTCTAGACTTGGGAACTTGGTGATTTGACTCTTTTTGCTCCATTTTGACTCTTCTTTGCTATTTTGACCTGAATGATGCTCAAAACCAGAATATACAAGAAAACTACCTCTTGGGCTTAAAAACCACATTATTTGTATTAAAAACATAGTGAAAACCTTGATAAAAACATGAAAGATATGGGTATATCAACTCCCCCAGACTTAGCCTTTTGCTTGTCCCCAAGCAAACTAAGAGAGGAAGAGAGGTTTGAAAACGCAAGAACTCTCAAATCATTAGGAAATCCGGGTTGGCTTGGTTTTAGTAATCCACATGAAAGTAGTAAAGGCAAATATTTGAATTAAGAACAAGAGTACATACCATGAGTTTTGCGATTTTTCCAAGGCGGCCCACCTCTCTTTGGACAATCCAATTCACCCTCCTTGACTCCTTTCATTTCTAAAGGTGTGGTCTCAACTAGGGAGTATCGATCAGCCGGCTTTAGACTCTTACTCATCCCCTTGTTTTGGCACTTGTCTTTTTACTCCATGTTTCTCCTCTCTCTCTTCTCACTTCTTTGAGTTGACTCATCCCTTTTTTAGGGTAGCGAAGTATTTTTTTATTCAACTCCTTCTCTTTATTATAGAGGTTTTGCTTGGATCTTCCACAGACGCGAGTATTGATGGTGTTTGCCACCGAATCCCCGGTTGCTTGGATTCATAGGCCTTCCATAGACGCGAGTATTGATGGTGTTTGCCACCGAATCCCCGGTTACTTGGACCTTACGCTTTTTCTTTAAATTTGAAGGGGAGAGAGAGGGAAGCACGAACTCACTAAGACTTTTTCATTTGATGGAGAGGATGAGGAATCATGCCATTTGTATGCCAAGCCCCTAGCTGAGAAGATTAAGTTCATTAAGGGCGGAGTCAAGAGTGGATCCTTCTCAAGTCCTTGGAGGTGTGGGCGTTTTTGGTAGATCGATCAACTCATAGTGTCCCTGTGGTAAGATGTATTGCCAAGACTGCTTCAATGGTCACTTAAACGTTAGCACAACAATGGTTAGATCCAAGATAAGGTCATAATCCTTTGACAAAATTTTGACTCAATAAAACGACTCAATGAAAAGCAAAAAGAACAAACTTGTTAGTAATCCCCCCAGACTTAACTTGCACCGTCTCGGTGTAAGAAAAATCCAATTAAGAGAGGTAATGATAAATAGAATGGAAAAGTTAGAGTTTGTAGAAAATTGTACCCAAATTTTTGGCCTTTGATGTGAAGATCGGTTGTGCGCTTGAGTTGCTTCCAGGAATGAACTGACTGGTGCAAACATCATAGCTGTTGGATTTGGTTGGATGAATGTGACAATTCTCCCTTGGTTTTCTGTTTTTCGCCTTTTTGGCCGAGACTGGTCCGTTTTGGTCGACCGGATGGTGATGGTATGGACTACAGCTCGAACCGTGAAGATTTCCTCGACCTATCTTGAAATTTCGTCGACCAATATTGTATAATATGGCGACTGGTGAAGTTTGGGGTCGTTTGAACGAGTGGTTTGAGATCTCCTTTGAAAAATTTTCAAATTGGCTCCGGGAACGTCTTCCTTCGGTCTTCTCCAATTCTGCTCGTTCCAATCTGGATTTTCTTCTTTAGATGCGATGTGGATGCTTGATTGAGGTGATTTGAGCCGGTGGCCGCGGTAAATGCCGTGATTTGGATTGTCGGCCATTTTACTTGCTCGCGATCGGCCAAATTTCACTCCATCGGCCATCTCTTGAATTGTAAGGAATTCATTGTACTGAAATGAAATTTCATCGACCAACCTTATGTTTTGTGGCTCCTTGTGAAGTTTGAGGCGATTTGAACGTGTGGATTCGGAGATCTTTCGTTGTGCGCGCCAATGGCTCGGGATGTGATTCCTTTGGCCATCTTGTATTCTGTTCGATCGTCTCCTTCCTTTCTTCTTCCTTGGTGTTTTTTGGACTCCAGAGGATCAGTTTCCACCGGTGTTCGCGCCTTCTTGAGGTTTTGAGTTCGTCGGCCATTCTATGCATCGCCGTCGGCCGTATTGAGCTTCCTCGTCTATCTCACGTAGCAGGCACTTTTTCGTCCTATCTTTTGGATTTGCCGACCAAAATGATGTTTTGAGGTCGCCTGTGAAGTTTGGTGGACTTCGGTCGTGCCGTTTGGGAGATGGTCGAGCATTGTCGCTTGGTTCGTCGATTCTGGCCGAGAGAGTGATTGGATGTGATATCTCCTTTTTACTCGGGCCAATTGAGTTCTGCTTCGACCGAACTGTTTTTCTATCCCTCCTGGATTGAATTGTGGTTGGATTTCCCTCATCTCTCATGTTTGGCATGTAAATCCTCCTTTGGCCGGTTGTGGCTCCTTGCGCGCCATGTTTGTTGATATTTTGAACCGGTTTTCCTGTCATGTTTTATATCTGAAAAACACTAGTAACTCTTTGTTAAACTCTGTCAATGATTGAGATGTTCAAGTATTTGAACTTCCCAATCAAAGACTTGATCGTGACACTACATGTACTTGGATCTTGATCAGAGATCCAAGTAGTGTTCATGTGTAATATAGAGATAATGTTTTGAGAAATGACATTTGAATGGAGAGATTACTTACCTTTGCCTTGTGCAATAGTGTTCCAATGGCCGGATTTTGTGCCGCCCTTCTTGGACTTCTTCTTGAAACATGGGTGGGACTTGGGTGGGACTCAAACTAGACTCAATGCTCATACTTAGACCAAAGATGGTTGATCCTTGGGCCGATTGTGGCGATGTAGCTTTTCCAATGCATTTTTCATGTAAGCCTCCTTTTTGGTACTTTTTCCTAAAACACTTTTTATTTTATTTTTGTAAAATTTATTAAACTCTCAAAAATTTAAGAGTTATAAATAGAACAAATAAGTAGTTATAAAAATAAAAACAAAAATAAAAAAGGAAGGGATAAGAAAATGTGGGTTGCCTCCCACAAGCGCTTGTTTTAAGTCTTTGTAGCTCGACTCCTTTGTGTTCTTAGTTAGGTAGGATTGGTGGCTCCAAGAACTTCCTGTTGCCTGATGATTCCAAGTGCATCTTGTCCTGTAGAACTTCCTTGATCAAGTAGCCATGCGACTCTCCTCTTACTTGTGAGCACTCTCCTCCACTTGTGTAGCGAAATCGCTTGGATGAGAAACCGGGAGGTGCAGCATCGTAGAAGGTGTCCTTGTCAACATTGGCTAGAGAGATTCTTCTATTAGGCCAATCCATGATCGCTCCAGCTGTGGCTAGGAATGATCTTCCAAGCAAAAGCTTTAAGTCCTCCGGATCCTTCATGGTTACTACATAGAAGTTGGCTGGAACTATGCAGCCTCCAAAATCAAGCTGAATGTCTTTAACCTCTCCAAGTGGTTCGGTCAATGATGAATCAGCTAGCTTTAAATCCATTCGAGATTTCACAATTGAATTGATCAATCCCAACTTCTTGGCTATCTCGGCCGGCATAAGGTTCACACTAGAACCGGAATCGCAAAGAGCATCATCAAAGTAGCTTCCATTGATAGAGAAATGTATAAGGAAGTAACCTGGGTCATGAAGCTTGTGTAGAAACCTAGGTTTAGGCATCCCCTTTCTTGCTTCCTCGTACATCTTTTCCAATTCAGCTAGACTCCAATCTTGTGTCCAAGCTAGGTCTTGCATGAATGGACTCTTGTTGCAAGCATTATCAAACGGCACACCATAAGGGAATCTCCTCGCCATAAAGTTGAAATCATCTATGATCTCTTCAAGTGATGATCTTGTCTTCCTCTTCTCCTTGGTGGGAGGCGGTTGTGAAGACCTTTGAGTAAGGGTTCTTCCTTTTGGTGCTATCTTCTCTCTTGTTCCAGTGGTTAGCCTTGTGGCTCTTTCTTGATCAGCTCTCCTTTCTTCTTCATCCCAAATCACTCTTGGGTCGGTCTCTCTTATAGTAAAGACGGGCGCGGCATGGTTGTGCTTAGGAACGGTCGTCTTTGCTCGGTCAAGACCTTCTCTTCCAAGTTGGCTAAGCGAGTGGTTAAATCCTTGACTTCCTTGGAGACTCCATCTACTTTGTCTTCAAGCCCTCTAGCTCTTCTTTGAATATCTTGGCTCCTCTTGTCTAGAGAGATGTGTAAATCTCGGATTTGTGCCTTCACTTGTTTTTGCCCTTCCACCAATGTAAGCATCGTCGAGTAACATTGCCTCTCCTTTAGGGTTACTTCGGCTACCTCCCTCTTAGCTTGATGAGCTACTGCTGTTATTGAATTGAGACTCTTGGTGGTGCCATCGAGGTTGTTATCAAGACTTGTGATCTTCTCATCTAAGTGATTGTCCATCTCCTTGGTAGAAACTTTGGTAAAGTGTATCGCTCTCCTATTGTCTTCAATGGCCTCGCCTTGCTTCTTCAAATCTTCCTCCATGTCCAAGCATCTTGACTCTACTCTCTCTATTTGGGTAGAGAGTTCTCCAAGTCTTCCATCTAGTTCGTATCGCGTGAACTCTAGCTTTGTCTCAATGTCGCGGCTAGTTTTCTTTGGCTCTCCATGAAACCCTCAAGCACGGCATCGAAATGGCTATCTCTCCGCCTATTGAGAACATGGTCGTGGTGTGAATGCAACACTGGTCTAGGTGGTTGATGATAAACCGGAGGTCGGTTTTGATGATGATGGTAATGATGCTCGTCTCGGCTAGGTCCTTCAAACGTCGGATGAGCGCGGTTGGGAGGGAACGGATGTGGCACGATGCTTACGGCTGGGTCTTGGTAACTCCGGCCGTGGAGATCGTGTGGGATCAGTGTCCGGTTCCCAAAGTGGATGTTGGTGTTGTGATTCATCTCCAAGTACCTATAAACACAAGATTTAAAAAGAAAAAGTTAGTATTCGAAAATACCAAGATCTAGACTTAGTTTTAAACAAGACTATGCAAGTGTTTATGATGCAATCCCCGGCAACGGCGCCAAAAACTTGATGCGGCATCTATGGGATGAGTACAAGTAATAATTCCCTAAGACAACTAGTGTTGCAAGTGCACAACATATAATTGTAGTATTTAGGGGTCGAACCACAAGGGATTGGATTTCACACATTACATAATCATAGAGTTTAAATGACTAAGCTAAATCAAAAGATGCAAGGGTTTGTGTTTGTTTAGAACACGCAAAAGAAATAACAATGCAATTCTATACAAGCAACATTATTGAACTATTGAAAACTCTTTTGAAAACATGAGCCAAGTCGATTGAAAAGTTTGTTAAAATCCGATTCTTTTGAACTCAAAACACTAAGGAAGGATTATTCCACTTTCGTGGTTCCAATCCCCTATGTCTCTTAAACCAATGGGCTCAGCTTTCGTTGGTCATTGTAGAGTGAGACATGCATTACATCCAAGTAATGATTGTTCACAAAACTCTTTAGGTCTACTTTCGTAGCCTAAAACGATTTGCCCATCAAATATTATGTCCGGAGATATAACAAGCTTTTGGAGAGTATATCAACCTAAAATCAAGTCACTAGTTAGCTACTCTAGCAACAAGCATTAAGCATAAATAAAGATGGAGAACCATAGGGTTTCCCCTTTTAACAATCGATTTTCGATGGCCATTATATCACGTCCTCATTGGAAGGATCCATAATTCAACAATGAGTCTTAGATAGTAGATGAAGTCTCATGAATCCTTAGAGAGAGAGGCGGCGGAATATGACTAAACCACGCCTCACCCTTAGGGAGAAATCTCTACTTCTAGACTATATAAATTGAAACATGCAAGCTATATACAAATGCAAAAGAAGAAAAGAAAGAAGAAGGAGACCACCTAAGTGGCTCCGAACTTTATTGAATAAGTGTTTCTTGTTATGCGGCTGGTGATTCTTATTACAAGAGGCTAAAAGCAAGTATATATAGGTAGAGAGCGGGTCTAGGTCGGCAAAGTTGAGCGCGCGCAGAAGAGGAAAGTTTCCATTTCTCTTTAGCCGCTTGAGCTTGCTCTCCAAGTTCTTGAATGGGCCGCGTTCAGGCCAATGGAAGCTTCTGGATTGAGTTATGCTAGTGTCAAGATGAGCCAAGGCCTTGGGCGCGGTATCTCGGGCCTCTTGATCCATCAAAGTCTCCATGGGCTCTACTTAGGCGCTCGTCGGACATGTCTTGGTAGAAAATAAGTTCCGGTCCAACGAGTGATCCAAATGACCTCTTTCCACTTCGCCGCGGGTCATGACTCAAATATCTATCTTTCCATATAAGAATCATGACTTTTGGACGTCGGGAAGGCATGAATATGCGGTCGTACTTCGGATGCTCCGGTTTGGTCTTTAGCGAGAAATGTAGATTTGGTGCTCTAGACTTGGGAACTTGGTGATTTGACTCTTTTTGCTCCATTTTGGACTCTTCTTTGCTATTTTGACCTGAATGATGCTCAAAACCAGAATATACAAGAAAACTACCTCTTGGGCTTAAAAACCACATTATTTGTATTAAAAACATAGTGAAAACCTTGATAAAAACATGAAAGATATGGATATATCAGACGTCTACGTCTGAGTTCTTACAGTTTTAAGACCTCATGCTTAGGTCTACATCAATAAGTTGGTCAACGCAAAATAGTAAGAGGTCTATGAAGAAGGTCTAAAGGTGGTAAAAATTTCAATCAATTGAAAAAGTAACCTGTTTGAGGTCTACAGTTTTTGTAGACCTCTACTATAGACCTTACCTTTTTTTGTAGACCCAAGGTTGAGGTCTATTTTGTTGATGAGGTAATCCAAAATTTTTGGATGAATTGCAACACTAACCTTTTTTGTAGACCTCAAAAAAAAAAAATTCCTTCGTTCATTTGCAAAACTAACCTTTTTTTAGACCTCGTGTAGACGTCTAAATCTGGGATCTATTTAGGAGATCTACATTTCTTTCGTTTTTTTAAAATTGATTTTATGGGAAGTTTATAAATGTTTTTGTGGATTTTTTTTTTGCATAAATACTTCTATATAAATACTTCTGTTAGCCTAATTACTTGGCCTTATGAGAGTTTTACATGATAGTTTTATGTAATGAAGGATGTATTAGATTTTCGTTAAAATTAATTAACTTGGTTAAATTCTGTAGACCTCACAGTTGTTATGAGGTCTACGATTTCCGTCTACTGCGTGACCGGCAATCTTTATTAATATGATTTTCATTTGTTTTCATGCAGATCACGATTTGTTTGGCATCCGTGTATGGAGCATGGACGATGAGGAACAGGAAATGGTATTTTGAGGTTGAGAAAAAGAGAGGAGGTAGAATGTTGTGCCTGCGGGATGGTTGTACACATGCTGAGTTGGTTGAAATAGTTGTGAACGACTATATGTTGCAACTGAACGACGAGCTGTTGGAGTTGCCATATCCATTACCAACTGCTATGATGGAGAGCATGCCTACGGATTCACCTCCTATGTATATCACAAACGACAGACAAGTGTACAACTTGGTCGAGTTATGTAAGAAGCATGTGCTCCGTCTTTGCGTCTCCACCCGCGTTGGTATGGGAAGGAACTATGACAAACCAATACAGGAGTGTGGCCAAGAAAATGAGTCCAAGGAGGTGGATAAAGAGTGGGAGGATAAAGAGTTTGATGATGAAGCCTGGGATGATAACGAGTCGGATGATATAGACTTTAATGACAAAGCGTGGGATGTAAATTCAGAAGATGAAACGGATGACGATGTCAATGATATTGCTGAGGGAAACGACAACCCCAACGACATAGATGCAGACTACAGTAAGTATGGAAGGGTGAAAGATGAGAAAGAGTGTAACAGTTTACCTTTCCGTGAAAGGCTCCGTAGAGGTGATTGGAATGGTGAAGGACGAGGGTTCACAAGCAACTGGTGCAACGCTATTCAGGTGAACCAGAGTTATGCCTGTAAGGAAGCTCTTTTTGCTGACTTGTGAATGACGGCAGTGATGGCAAGATTCACATTCAAGGTGTACAAGTCCACTAAAGACTTGTTTGTGGCAAAATATGTTGTCAATGGATGTGCATGGAAGTTGAGAGCAGTTGTGAAGAATGAATCGGATAGGTTTTGGGTTACCAAGTACGTAAAGGGTCATACATGCTCAATTAAGGACGTGTATTGGACAACTATTAATGGAGCGGCTTGGACTCATTGAAGGAATTGTCCCTAGACAAATTGCAGATTCGATGAGGGTTATGTTTGGACTGAGTCTTAACTATACAACATCATACAAGGCTATGAAATTTTCTCAACTATTTGTGAGGGGAAGTCCAGAAGATGGATATGCGAACGTGCCTTCTTACCTTAGAAGACTCAAGCAAGTAAACCCTGGCACTATAACACACCTACTGTGTGATAAGGAGGATCGTTTCAAGTACTGTTTTGTGGTGTTAGAGGCTTCAACCGTGGGGTTTCAGTATTTGAGGAGGGTTACTGTGGTTGATGGTACACACCTTACTGAGAAATACGGAGGAATATTGCTGGTGGCAGCTGGACAAGACGCAAACTTTCAGGTTTTTCCTTTAGCGTATGATGTAGTTGTTGATGCTGAAAATAATGAGGCTTGGGGATGGTTTTTCGAGAAATTGCAGACTTGTTTTGCTCCTCATCCCATGGTCATTGTTTCAGACAGGGCATCGTCCATAGAAAATGCTTGTGTGAATGTTCTTCCATGGGTAACTAGGGAAATATGTTACTATCATCTTCAACAAAATATTATGAAAAAGGCGCTAAGGAGCTTATGTATTTGGTCAAAGGAGCTGCTTATGCCCACACCCTTGCTGAATATAACCGGTGCATGGACTCACTCAGAGCTGCGCATCCAGAACTCGCAACGTCAATGGAGTTGGCTGACCCTAAGCTTTGGTCTAGAGTTAATTTTCCCGGTGATAGTTACAACATCAAGATGAGTAACATTGCAGAATCTATCAACTCGGCTATAAAAAGGCCAAAGGGTTTCCCATACCTTTTTTGCTCCAGTTTATTAGAGAAAAGTGAGGGCGGTGGTTCTACAAAAGGCGTGAAGATGCTTTGAGTTTGCAGACGACATACAGCAAAGGAGTTGAGTATATACTGGCCATCCGTGAAAATTACGCTCAGTGGATGGGCGTACAGCGAATAGATGCAATGCGTTTCCATGTTACAGATGGACGAAGGCACTTCGTAGTTGATATAGAGCAGGGTAAATGCAAGTGTGAGTGTACCAAGTCGAGAAAATTCGTGTTCGCATGTCCTTGCAGCTCTTGCTGATGCTGGCGTGCACGTCTCACACTATACTTGTTCAACGTACTTCAAGGATTCCTTGTATGTGACGTATGCAAACCCTGTATATCCTGAAGAGGAAATTGACAACCAGCCAAAGAGCGAGTGGTGCCGGCCACCAATCCTGAAGAATGGGCCTGGTCGTAAGAAGAAATCAATATGGCAGTCATGGCTGGAAATGTCAAGGAAGAAAGGCAAGAGAGATAGGAAGATGAACAAAGTTTACAGCTGCTCCAATTGCAAGCAACCAGGACATACTCGCTCGTACTGCGTAAGCTTCCACCATCGCACATTATTTGTATCTTTCTTACAACAATGCAGTAACTGATTGTTCTTGATTAGGTGTCCAAGCCTGCTGAGAACTGATTTCTGAGATCTACTGGTGGTCTACAAGTGGTAATCCTGACGTCTACAAGCCGTAACACGGAAGTCTATGTAACGTTGAATCCGTTATCCTTTATTTTATAAAAAAATCAATGTGTACTAAAATGCGTGAGGTCTACCATTGCTGTCTACTTTGTGCTTTGTATTAGGATGTTAACTAAGTTAAGTATTAATACGTATTACGTTGCTTAATTTCATTCCGATAAACGAGGTCTACAAAAGGGAATTAATGTTAGCGACCTTCTTACATACAAACTTATTATTGGACCCGATAAACGAGGTCTACAAAATCAGTGTTTGTTTGAGAGGGCAAAAAAAAAAAAAAAAAAACCCTCTCTTTCACCATTCCTTGAGGGGCACAATAAAATTCACCCTCTGCTATGCCGTTCCTAAGGTTAGTACTGGAGATTCAATCAGCTTCTCCCGTCGGAAGGATCCATACCTTCCCAGTTACGGATCCTGGGTTCCCTGCACTTGGTCTCTGATGTACTTGCATTTTGCATAGTTTTAGTACATCTTTTATGCATCTTTTGCATAGTTTTAGCATTCATTAGCATCATATCTTGTTCCTTTTCCTTTCTTATGCATTCATTGTAGTTTTAGGTTGCATTTGCATACATGTGCATGTTTGATCCTTAAACAGGTCTTTTTGGAGCACTATGGAGCAATTGGGACGTGAGGAGCAAGGAAGGATATTGTGCATGGACTCAGCTTGACCACGCATGCTTGGAATGAAGAAGGAAGCCGCCTTTGAAGTCAGCTCGACCCATCTACTCGACCAACCTGTCGAGTTCCCAACTCGACCGGCCAAGACCAACTCGATCGAGCTGGAAGTCAAAGTCAAACCCGAAAAATGTTGCTTCCCTTTGACTCTCCTTTGACCCTAAACCTAAATCTTTTCCTATTTAAAGGCCTTGAGCCACGAAAAAGACAACAATCTTTTAGCTTTTTTTTGTTTTAAGTTTTTAATTTAGCTTGTAATTTACTTTTAAGCCTCTCTTTGTGTTCTTGAGCTTATGCTTCTTGAACCTTAGATCTAGGCTCTATCTTTGTATTTCTGCACTTGCTTATTTCAATAAAAGTTGTTTATTTCATCTCCTCTATCTTTTGATGTTTCATTCATTGCATTTGGTTATGTATTTCGCAATGTGTAGTGAGTAGTTCTCTTAGGGTTTAAGATGGGCTAGACTAGAGGATTTTTATGCTTAATCTCTCTTGCTTGATGTTCTTAATCTAAAATCTCTCTCTTTTGGACAAAGCCTAAGGCAACACAACCACTATCCATGGTGTGTTTGATCTTAAGCGGTTTTCCTCATGGGAATGATGGGAAATCGCTTGAAAAGGTCCACTAAGAGCTTCAACATGCTTGCTCTACGAAATGGAGTTTATAGGTGTTGAATGGGTGAGTTTGAGCATAGTTTCTAATGCCTCTAAGGCTTGATTCTCACTGGCTGACCCCCTGTTTCTGAGATCTTGCTTTAGATGATAGCTTTCACCTTGGGAAAGGGTTAGCTAGGCTAAGAAGCTCAATGCCAAGAGATAGCTTGAGTACAAGTGGTTTGAGAGCAAGATTGATTAAGTATAGCCTTCCCCTAGTCGCAGGACCCTGTCTTAGACCCTAATCTTCGTCTTAATAGCTTAAAGTTTGCACCTTTACTGTTTTTGCATTCGCTTTCCCCTATGTTTTACTTCAACTCGACCCCCAACTCGATCGAGCTCAATGCTCTGTTTCTACTCGATCGAGTCCTAGGTCGAGCCGCTTCTTTCTTGTTTATTTCATGCATTCTTAGCTTGTTTCATATCCGCATTGCACTTTCATTTCATTAGGTTGTTAGAATCATCCATCTTTACCATACTTGCTTGACTTCCTTGTATTTGCATATTCTTATAGAGTAACAACAAACCCTTATGGATTGATAACCTCTTATGCTGCATCGACTATGATGATTAAGAGGAACTGATTGATTGTGATTGTACCATACCATCTCATTCTTATTCCACTCCTGTTTGCATCCACCTCATATCATTTACATATTTCATTCCATCACCGCAAAATCCTATCATCAGTCTCGCTCAATATGTCACATGCAAACCTAGCCCTAATTGCCTTGATGTTCTTGTTGCAAAGAGAGGCTGCTGAAATAGGGGTTCTAGTGGCGTGACACTCGATTTATATCAGATAGGAAACACCGTAATCACCGGGACCTTCTTGCTCTCGCTCCCCAATAATATGTTTTTGGGTAAACTTATCGAAAGGATAGTAGTGACGGTCTTCCACCGGAGCCATCTCACGTAACATGTACGCCATCATCACAGCAACTGATTCAAACTCTATTGGTGTAGAATCTCCTTTGGGAATGTAGGCTTCGATATCCTACAAAACGATTAGAAAGCGAGTAGAGTAAGTCAGCAGTTAATACATCTACACTTCATTAAAGAGTTCTACACAGTAAGCTATATAGTAGGTCTACACATGAGGTCTACCAATAAGGTTAACGCACAAGGTCTACTTATGTGGTATACAATTGAGGTCTATAATTGAGGTCTACCAATGAGGAATATGGTTTTGATACTTGTTCTTCATGGAATCTCGACGCCTCAAGCCTACTCGCCAAGTGCAGATTACCAGAGCTGGGAATCTGAAGTAGAATTTCAAACAGAAATAGTATTACCATCACTACAAAAAAAGTGTACATTCATAGCATGTCCTAATAGCACGATTTGTCAAACTGCTATTGAAGATAAAGTTGTAATTCCGATTATCATATTATAGCATTGCATGAACGCTATGTTAGTGTTTTACTAAGCGGGAAGCTAATTACTCTTATTCCGCCAACACTTAGTGAAATTTAGTCATTAAGCGCCATAGACTTGCGATTTTCCCCCTTCTCTATCTTTCGAAAAACCCTCAGAAAAAAAAATTACCCAATCGGGAAAACAAATCTCACTACTTTCTGAATCATTCCATCTACAATCGCCGTCGCACTGTAGCTAATCGGAACTGTATCTCCTCAGTTCTTTTCCGACTTCCTATCCGTCGCCATTGGGCTCCAATCAAAGGCATGGATTTCGAAATCTGTTGTTGCTTTTCGTTACTACCTATAAAATTGATTTTGCCTTCGTGATGCTAGCGGAATTATGAGATTTCTGTGTGAATGTAGTACATTGCAGTTGATTGATTATAGGATTTATTTAGCTAATTTGAAAGTGGGTTAAAATCCGATTTCTGTATCAATGAAGCATATTGTAGTTCATTGCATGCCAATGTTATTTGCGAATGCACACTAATTTCCGTGTATGCTGTTTGCTCGATTAGACTTAATGCTAGTTCAACAAGTAGGATGAACAACTTTTGTCTTCCGATGTCTAGATTCACAAGATGATGTGGCTGTTTATGTCTTTCACTTGTCGTTTATTTGTTGACTGCTACTAGAAACTACATATAGTGCTGCAATCAGTGTTTTTCTGGTTTTCTGATTATTGATATACCGGTTTTACATTTGCCCTGACAATGAAATGTTGATATTGTTCGATTTGGTCGTTATTAGAACCTGTGATCCGAGTATATTTGTCTGAATTTTGACTGATTTTTGTGATGCGTTGCACTGATGGATTAGACCTGATATGCTTCTTAATGTGTAAAGGGCTAACATTACGGTAGAACTTAGAATGGTGGACAAGGCTTGGGTTCATCTTTGCAGGTACATTGGTAAATTGTATAGGTTAGGTTTCAGGTGAGTCTAGAGTCTTTACTGTGTTTTTTTTGTTCTTTCATTTCTGCGACGAAGAGCTGATCCTGGTTATGAGAAAGGGGCGTCAGAGTTTGTTAGAGATGTGGCTGCGGCTCTGGGAGACGTTGATATGATCGTGTGTCCTTGCATCGACTGTCGTAACATAGATCGTCATTATAGCAATGTTGTAGTTGATCATCTTGTTACAAGGGGAATGGATGAGGCGTATAAGAGAAGGTCTGATTGGTATCATCATGGAGAACTGAATTATGGTGTAGAAGGTGAAACAAAATCAAGTCAGCGGAATGATGAGATTGTCGGTCTGTATAAAGCTGCTGGATTCTTGGATGAAGAGTTTGGGGCTACTTCTGACTTTGGTGAGATTGCAGAGGGAGAAGACAAGAAAGAAGATGAGTTCCTTGCCAAAATTGTTGATGCTGAAACACCACTGTATCCAACTTGTGTCAACCACAGCAAGCTTTCTGCGATTGTATCCTTGTTCAGACTGAAGACACAGAACGGCTGGTCAGACAAGAGTTTTAATGATCTTCTCGAGACTTTGCCAGGGATGTTACCAGCGGATAATGTCTTACACACATCACTTTATGAGGTCAAGAAATTTCTGAAATCATTTGATATGGGTTACGAGAAGATCCATGCCTGTGTCAACGACTGCTGCTTGTTCAGAAAGAAGTACAAGAAGCTTGAGAATTGTCCAAAATGTAAGGTTTTCCGGTGGAAGACAAACATTCACACTGGTGAAGTGAAACAAGGTGTGCCACAGAAAGTTTTACGCTATTTTCCAATAATCCCAAGACTGAAGAGAATGTTTAGATCAGAGGATATGGCTAGAGATCTAAGGTGGCATTTCACTAATAAGAGCATCGACGGCAAACTCAGACACCCGGTGGATTCAGTTACTTGGGATCAGATGAACGCCAAATACCCTTCCTTTGCATCAGAAGAAAGGAACGTGAGGCTTGGACTTTCCACAGATGGCTTTAATCCGTTCAACATGAAGAACAGTATGTATAGCTGCTGGCCTGTTTTGCTTGTCAACTACAACTTACCACCTGATTTATGCATGAAGAAGGAAAACATAATGCTTACATTGTTGATTCCTGGTCCACATCAGCCTGGAAATAGCATTGACGTCTACTTGGAGCCGCTCATAGAGGATCTAAACCACTTGTGGAATAACGGAGAGGTCACATATGACGCCTTTAGTAAGTCTACTTTCACTCTTAAGGCGATGCTACTTTGGACAATAAGTGATTTCCCGGCGTATGGAAATCTTGCAGGCTGCAAAGTGAAAGGTAAAATGGGATGTCCTTTGTGTGGGAAAAATACTGATTGTATGTGGTTGAAGTTCAGCAGGAAGCATGTGTACATGTGTCATAGAAAGCGGCTGCCACCTACACATAGTTTTAGGGGAAAGAAGTCGTGGTTTGATGGCAAAGTGGAACTGGGCAGAAAGGGAAGAATTTTAAGTGGTCGAGAAATATGTCAGAATCTCGGGAATTTCAAGAACAAATTTGGAAACTTGAAACGATCTGGTAGAAAGAGGAAAAAGCCTGTGTGTACATCTGTGGGCTCTGAAGTTGAGGATTTATCCAGTGAGTCAGAGGCAGAAGAAGAGGAAGAATTACAAGTAGATGTGGAGGAGTTACTGCGATGGAAGAAAAAATCAATCTTTTTCAAGTTACCTTATTGGGAGGTAAGTTTACATTGTCATGTTATTAGTTGTTATCAATATACTATCAAGAAGACATGTTTATTAACTCTGGATTTCTTTTTGTTTTTTTCTTTGGTAGGAACTCCCTGTGAGATATAACTTGGACGTAATGCACATTGAGAGGAATGTGGCTGCAAGTATAGTGTCTACATTGTTGCATTGTGGCAAGTCGAAAGATGGTCTTCAGGCTCGTAAAGATTTGGAGGAGTTGGGTATTAGGAAGGATCTACATCCAACCATCAAAGGGAAACAGACGTATCTACCAGCAGCACCTTGGTCTCTTTCCATGACAGAGAAGAAAATTTTTTGCAAGCGCCTATTAGACTTCAAAGGCCCTGATGGATATTGCTCAGACATTTCAAGAGGTGTGTCATTAGATGAGTGTAAGGTCACTGGCCTGAAATCACATGACTATCACGTCCTAATGCAACAACTTCTTCCAATTGCCCTTAGAGGCTTGCTACCCAAAGGTCCAAGGCTAGCAATTGTACGCTTATGCGCGTTTTTCAACCATCTGTGTCAGCGAGTCATAGATAGAGAACAACTACTGGTAATGGAAGATGAGATTGTTGAGACTCTTTGTATGTTTGAGAGGTTTTTTCCCCCAAGCTTCTTCGATATAATGGTGCATCTGACGGTACATCTAGGAAGGGAAGCACGACTTGGTGGTCCAGTCCATTTTAGGTGGATGTACCCATTTGAAAGGTATAACTTTCATTACATTTGACTTTCCTTGTTGTTATTTGTACAATTTATAACTAGATACTCTTCAAACTTTCAGGTATATGAAAGTTTTGAAGGATTTTGTCAGAAATCCTGCTAGACCAGAGGGATGTATCGCTGAATCTTACCTTGCTGAAGAATGCATCCAGTTTTGTAGTGATTTTCTGAGAAATACTACAACTGTGCAAGAAAAACTCGATAGAAACACCGAGTACGAGAATGTATCCATTCTGGAGGGTCGTCCAATCTCTGCAGGCTCTCCAGTAACTCTAACTGAAATGGAGAAGAACATAGCCCATCTTGCTGTCATCCAAAACATGGCAGTCGTTGAACCTTACGTAGAGTAAGTTTACATTTGCATTTCCTGATCATCTTCTTCTAATGTTTCATAAGCTCAATATCTCATTTTACTTGTTTATTCTTTTGCAAGTGAGCACCTGCAACATCTACAAGATACGAACGGAAGATGTAGACGTGATGCATCCATACTTTGGAATATGCATACACAGAATTTTGCAACTTGGCTAAAAGAACAGGCTAGTTACAGACAAATTATTTTTCCTTTAATTACCATTTATATATTACGATGTGTGTAATATTTACATATTTATACTTTTGTCAGATTCCTCTTGATTCTGCACGACATGGTGATACACTTAAGTGGTTGGCATATGGACCATGTTGTTCTGCAAGATCGTACACATGATATATAGTGAATGGGCAACGGTTTCACGAAAATTCAGTAGATAGGAAAAGTCAGAATAGTGGGGTTTTTTATGAGGCAACAGCAGTTTGTAGATCTAGTGCGAAAGATACATCGCAGGTGGTTGATTGGGTGTCTTATTATGGCAGAGTAACGGAAATTATTCTGTTGGATTATAATGTATTCTATGTGGCTCTATTCCGGTGTCAGTGGGCAGTTCTGGGAAATGGAGTTAAGAAAGAAGATGGTTTCACACTTGTTAATCTGCATCACAATCAGACTTCTTTCTTACGAGACCCATACATTTTAGCCTCACAAGCGAAGCAGGTTTTTTACTCTAGGGAAGATGAGTCATCAAGTTGGTATGTGGTTATGAGAGGGCCTTGTAGAAGATACAGTAAGGAAGAAGTCCAAGAAGGAAATGCAGACATTGGGCCATTGCCATCTACTGTTGTCATGGATGTTGATATGGATGAGTCTGAGAATTCACGAACTGATTGTCAAGGCATATATGTTTGAAATGTAGCTTTTTAATCACTAGTACTCGTTGATGCATCTGCTGTCTCTATTGTGTGGTTTATCGTTTTGATTGTGTGCTTTTTTCTTTTTAAATGATATGCGTGACTTACTTTTTTTGATTATTGATTGTTTCAGATAGTTTAAAATGGCTCGGACCAAGCGAGGAAGGAAAACACATAAGAAAATCACGCAAGTTACTACTAAGGTGGTGGAAGATCAGCCGGAGTTAGGAGACGATGGACCTGTGGAAAACCAGCCGGAGTTAGGAGATGATGGACCTGTTGAAAACCGGCCGGAGTTAGGAGATGATGGACCTATGGAGGAGCAGACGGAAGTAGGAGGTGATGGACCTTTGGCAGATGAACTTGATCGTGAAGAGGAGGAAGAACATGAAGGTGAAATTTTGTTATCAGAACATGATGACTCTGCAGCTGAACCTAGACGTAAGAGACAGCGAGGTCTGACTATGATGAAAAACATAGCCAAGGATCCAAACAACAAACTGCGAGTACAGTACACTTTCACAGGTGAACCATATGGTTATAGATCAGTAAAATTGTCTTCATACTTAGGTCCACTGGTCCGAGAACATGTTCCTGTGACACTTACAAGCTGGACAAAACTTAGTGAAGCTCTGAAAACACTTCTCAGGAAATCTGTGCAGGTAACAGGATTCTTGAATAAGTTGACTAATGATTTTCCATTTCTTTTGGCTTTTAATGTTTGCTTACTAAATTGAATCAGGAAAGATTTGAACTAGATGAAGATTATCAACGGAAATCGGTGCTGAAGCAATTGGGATGTCTTTGGAGGTCATCAAAATCACGCCTTGTTACTCAAATCCTTGAAGCGACGAATAATCAACAGAGGATGAATCTAAGACCAAAGAATGTTTCTCCAATAGATTGGCGCAAGTTTGTCAAGCTCAAAACCAGTCAAGAATTCAAGGTATGATTAAGAGGAATCAAAATTGTGCTGATATCATATATGTAGCGGATTATAATTATCATTCATTTGCTAGGCTGTTAGTGATAGCTACAAGGAAAGAAGGCGTAAACAGATTCCTCACACTTGTAGTCGCAAGGGAATGGTTAGACTTGCAGAGGAAATGGTTAGTCCACTCTTAACTTGTTAAATTATAAGTTGAGTCAACTGTAACATTTTTTAATCATTTTCTTTTTCAAAGAAATCTGTTAGTGGAAACCCCGATGAAGTGACTCGCTTGAAGGTCTGGGTGAAGTCGCGTAGGCCTCCATATAAATGTCTCAGGCTGATGCACTTGATCAATGAACACTTTAACAGCTTTTGGCCCAAGAGGTAAACCATTAACCAATGCTTTTGGTTCTTCTGTCTGCCAGCGTCCTTCAGCAACAACAACATCATCTGAAGACAAATCAAGTAGTTTGCATTTGTTTATTGAGGTCGCTCTTTGGCTCTGTCAAACGCAATGTGCAATTACACAGTCTTATTATACTATTTTACCATCATAAACATAAACTCATTGATCAGTAAGATGAATTTTGAGAGTGACTGAACTTATACCAGTGGTGTAATGTCGACTGCTTCTGTCACTGGTTCTAGATCAACACACTTTGAGGCAGGCCATGCAATCTTTTGTCCTACAGCTTCAACCATTGTGAACATGTTACTTGCCGGTCTCTAAAGAAATGCATCTGGAACAGTTGCGGAATCAACTAGTACTTTCACATCCGTTGGGCCTAAACGAGTGTCATTCACCAAGTCATCTGGTTCAGAAGAAATAATTCTTCCCTCAGCAACGTTTTCATTTGTTCCAGCCCAGTCAACCAGAACACACTTGGGTTGTAATCTTTTGTTGACACTCTAAAGAGGAAATGGTTAGTCCACTCTTAACTTGTCAACAAAAGATTACAACCCAAGTGTGTTCTGGTTGACTGGGCTGGAACAAATGAAAACGTTGCTGAGGGAAGAATTATTTCTTTTGAACCAGATGACTTGGTGAATGACACTCGTTTAGGCCCCACGGATGTGAAAGTACTAGTTGATTCCGCAATTGTTCCAGATGCATTTCTTTAGAGACCGGCAAGTAACATGTTCACAATGGTTGAAGCTGTAGGACAAAAGATTGCATGGCCTGCCTCAAAGTGTGTTGATCTAGAACCAGTGACAGAAGCAGTCGACATTACACCACTGGTATAAGTTCAGTCACTCTCAAAATTCATCTTACTGATCAATGAGTTTATGTTTATGATGGTAAAATAGTATAATAAGACTGTGTAATTGCACATTGCGTTTGACAGAGCCAAAGAGCGACCTCAATAAACAAATGCAAACTACTTGATTTGTCTTCAGATGATGTTGTTGTTGCTGAAGGACGCTGGCAGACAGAAGAACCAAAAGCATTGGTTAATGGTTTACCTCTTGGGCCAAAAGCTGTTAAAGTGTTCATTGATCAAGTGCATCAGCCTGAGACATTTATATGGAGGCCTACGATAGAAACAACATACCTTGAGGACTGTCTACTGTCTTTTGTAGCATGGCCTGCCTGCAAAGTTGTCTTCGAGAACAGAGGAGAGGTTGGAACAGGGCATAAATTTCCGTTTGACAACTCTGTTTCAACTGATCAAGCTTTGGGAGGTAAATCAGTGGGCACTGATTCACGTTCTATGGAGAAGTCATTTAGATCTGATGCAACTGGTTCAAAGTCAGCGGCCAGAGTTTCAAAAACAGCTAGTCAGAAATCTGCAGAAACAAATCCGGTAAATGCCTTTTAGAGTTGTTTAAATTTTGCTTGTCTATACCATTTTATGTGGATAAAATGGTTGATACTAAGAACATGGCAACTTCAACAGGGAGCAGAGGTTATCAAAGAAAATCAGAAGTGCAAGCTGATGGATATTGGTGGAAGGAAGCTGGTTGTTGCTGAAGGTCGTGTGCATTCGATCAACCCAGATCAAATGGTACACTTTGTTAGATTGGGGTCTGATGCAGCAAGAGTTTGGGTGGACATAGTCAATGTCGAAGATGCACCGGTTTGGAAGCCATCAGATAAAATAGAAATATGAAAGATGCGCATGGTTCATCAATCGCATGGCCGATGGATAAATTGATCATCTTTTGAGATTGAGCAGCACCATGTATGTTATGTGGTCTGTGTTTATTGTTTATGCGTCTCTTTTCTCTTGAGGAAGTGTATATGGTAAACTGATCAAAGACATGCATTACTGTTTGTTGTAGGGGGATGAAGCAAGTTTGGTCCAGATTGGCTAGTTTTAACTTGTTTAAGACTAGACTAATCTAAAAGTTTGACTTGTGTTATGTGTTTGGCAGTTAGACTTATGTGTACTTGTTTGAATGAATATTCACACTTATGTGTGTGTGTTGGATTGTATTCAGATTGTTGCATTGCTTTTTTAAATGGAATACATTTATGGAAAACAAGATCATATGATAGCTATTACGAAATGCATATAACAGCATAAAAAAATAAAAACCAAATCGTAATTAATAGCAATAAAAAGGAGCCACTAATTACTGTATTATAGCAGATCTCAAAACTACGCATAGCATTGCTGAAAAGCTATAGTATACGACATGTTTTATAGCAATGAATATGATTGCTATTGTATAACGATCCACCATAGCAAAAATAAGATTGCTATTGTATGGGGTTCTACCACAGCACGTAATATGAGTTGTAATCGGATTATTTGTAGCTTTAAAATTTTGCTATGATACTTGAATCTATCGTAACTTTCTGAAAAAATGCTATCGTATGGGTACCACCTAACATAGCTGCCGATGTCATAGCATATGTGAAAACGCTATCTAATCCATATGATGGCAAATTTGTCGTGCTAACAATGTAGATATTTCTTGTAGTGCATATTGAGTTGCTTAATAGCAGTATGTAAAGAAAAATTAACGGTGAAACCTTGCCAAAAACGAGTATTACCAGGATAAAGTAGGAAGCGAAGAAAAAATAAAGATGCCTCTATCCAAACCGCGGCGGCGACGTTAGTGAGACGCAGGAGTAACAATTAAATCCCCACAAGTAAACGCCAAACAACTATCCGCGGAAGAAAAACTGAAAGTAGTTAACATTTGACTAGAATGAAGAACTTACCGGCGGAACGGTTTGTGTAAACGGTGGAAACAGCGAAATCGCCTCTTGCGGGGAGCGGAATGTCTGCCACGGATTAGGGTTACGAGTGAGGGTTACGACTGACGTTATTCTGTTATTCGTATATATATGTTGGTTAAATGATTTAATTTGGTTCGTTTTCGGTTCGATTTAACTGAACTGGTTTAGGTTATTTCTATTCGATTATACTCAATCTGGTATGGTTTATCTTTTATATCAGTGTAGATGTTACATAAATTTAATTAAATTAATGTTTGGTCTATTGATATGAAATTAATGTTTGGTATACGATGGATGTGTACGATGGAGGTCTACGATGGAGGTCTACAATGGAGGTCTAACTTGCGTTTCTGTCAATTCGATTAACAGTCAAAGTCTACCAAGGTTGCTCTGATTAGGAATCCGATGATTTGCATTACATACAACCAAATAAAATGTTTGAACAAGAATGCCCACAAGTTACATTGCTCAACCAAACATCGCGTAGCTAAAAAGACAGACGATCACGGCAATTACGGTAACCGATGTCGTCACCTCAACTCTTCTAAAATGCCTAATCTCAATAAGTTGCTTCTTCACTTGAGCTAATTCTGCCTCAGTCCGAAGCAAGGTTTCACGTTCTTCAGTTTCAGGTTGGCGAAAGCCAAAACCTGGGTTCTCGACGGCCGATATGAGTTGTAGAAACTCCTCCATCATAGCCTTGTCCCACCATTCCATAAGATGTGGGAAACCTAGCTACAAGGATGACGCAAACAATGTTTGAGTGAAGACAAAAACGAAAGTGAAATTTTTTGAAAACCAAAGCCTTTGAAAATTATTTACATTACCTTATAATCCTTGCAGCCAAAGAACATCCGCCTAGGATGTTCGTCCGTATGGTCCACCATTTTCAGCGGAGTCAAGAAACCACAGTAGCATATGCTTGGTATTCCAATGCCTAGCAGAGCTACTCAAAGCCTCCATTTTCATGAGGGTGACCTTTGTAATTTCCCTACCCAAACATGTTACTTTTGCTTAACATTCAAATTGTAGGTTAGACATTCTAAAAAAACCAAATTCTGTGTTATACTGGAAATTCTCCCTTCTTTATAACTGAAGAGGAGAGGCGATATTGGGCGATTTCGTGGTGTTCTTGGTCGATCTGTAGTTGTTTGGTGTCGTTCTCCCTTGCTTCTTCGCCTTTCCTTCGTTTCAATCCGTTTAGAGGTGATATAACCGTATATTAACACATTTAAGCATGCATTTACATACTTAATTGCATTGCTTTAGCTTCATTTGCATGCATTGATTTCAACCATTATTTACTGTTTAAAGTTTGTTAATTTCACTGTTGAGTTTCAATTTCGCAAAAACCAAATCTTTTGTTCTTGACTTGAAGTTTTTCTTGGGCTCTTTGAAGTCCCAATCTCTCTATGAATTTGATTGACACATTTACAATGGTGCGATGATATAAGCAGGGGCTTAAGGGTTTGATACATACAAAAATCTTGTTTTCAAACTGGCGCCGTTGCCATTTATAGAGATTTGATTGGGCTTTTTCGATTTGGAAAAATTTCGAGTTCAAGTTTTAATTTTCATCGTTGTTTGTATCTAATCTGCCTGAGAATTGCTCTGTTTTGTCCTCAGGTTTATGCAAACTCACTCTCGTGGATATTTAACTTGCTGAGTCCAAGCAAGCTGCAACGAGCTGAAAGAGAGAAACAAGAACGACGAGCAAGAAACAGAGCTGAGAGAGAGTCGACGTCTGAGTTCCAGCTGAGTGAAGACGGCTCTGTTTATGAAGCAATGGCAGACAATGGAGGAGGCGATTCCCGTACATCCACCACGCCAACCAAGGCAGATTGGAGCTGGAGATACACCAACAATACATGCCAACCACCACGAAATCACCCCACCACCTGTTCCAAACAACAATTTTGACATCAAGACAAGCTTGATTAACTTGGTGGAAAACTCAATCTTTCATGGAATGAAAGATGAAGACCCTTTGAAGCATTTGGAGAAGTTTGATAGAATTTGTCCTTTGCAAAAGATCAACAATGTCACAGAAGATGGTCTTAAGCTGAGATTGTTCCCATTCTCTTTGGGAGGCAAAGCACTAGCTTGGGAGTCATCAATTCCAGTTGGAACAGTGACAACTTGGGAACAATGCAAGCATGCTTTTCTTGCTAAATTCTTCCCTACTTCACGAACAGCTCAGCTGAGAAACGAGATTGCGAGTTTCACTCAACTGATTGGAGAAACTTTTGCTGAGGCTTATGAACGTTTTAAGGGTTATCAGTTGAAGCGTCCACACCATGGATTCTCCAAAGAGAATCTCCTGAGAACACTATACAGAGGAGCCACACCTCAGTACACGATGCACCTTGACTCAGATAATAATGGTCACTTCACCGGAAAAGATGTTGATGAATAACTCATATTGGTGGAGAACATTGCGCTTAGTGATGCCAACTATGGAGTAGAGTATGACAGAACAGACAGAGGGAACTCTGGTCAGGAGGAGAAACATAGAAAAGAGCTCAAAACTTGAATGACAAGCTCGACAAACTCTTGACTGGTCAGCAGAAGCAAGTTCACTTTGTTTTTGAAAATGATGTGAACCAAGAGTAGGAGGATACACAAACAGAGGAGGTGTGCTATGTAAGTAACCAGAGAGGTTACAACAAAGTTTATGGTAACTACAGCAGCAATCCAAACCTTTCTTATCGCAGCACAAATGTAGAGAATTCCCAAGATCAAGTGTATCCACCTCAACAAGGGCAACACCAAGGAGGTCAACAAACTGTGTACTTCAAGAGAAGTTATCCTCCAAAGACATTTGGAGCTCCTAATCACGGTTCTACTCAGGCTCAAGCAGGCAGTAGCTCAATTCAAGACTCTGACATGAAGACAATGCTCCAGCAAATCATCAAGGGACAAGCTAGTGGAGCTAGTGAGCTCAACACAAAGCTGGCCGAGATAAACAGCAAGGTCGACTGTTCTTACAACGATCTTAACAAGAAGTTGGAATCCTTGAACTCAAAAGTTCAACAATTGGAAGCCAAGAGCAGCAACCCTTCCTCTTCTAAGGGTATGCTTTCAGGAAAACCCATTCCAAACCCTAAAGAGTATGTGCAAGCAATAACTCTTAAGAGTGGACGAGTTCTACCTGAATGTGTTGCTCCGGCTAGAAGCAATGAGGACATTGTGATTCAAGAGGAGGAGGAGTCAGTCGACATTGAAGCTGATGATAGCATTAAGAAGGAACCAGCAGAGCCAGAGACACATAACAAGAAGAATAGCACAGCAGAGCCATCAAAAGGCAATAAGAAGATGAGTGAAACTCTTTTTGTTCCTCCACCTTTCAAACCGATGCTGCATTTTCCCACAAGGTTCAAGAAACAAATGGCAGAAAAGTGCAAGAGAGTATTCAATCAGCAGATGTCTGAAATTATTCTTAAAATCCCCATCATAGATGCTTTCATGATGATCAAACCTTATCAGAAATTTCTGAAGGATGCTAGGAGAGAACCAAAGAAGTCCAAGGCATGGTCGTTTTATCTAAGGACTGTAGTGCCATAATTCAAAGCAAGGCAGTCACCAAGAATCTAGGTGACCCTAGAAGTTTCACTCTTCCTTGCTCCTTAGGACCATTGGCTTTCAAGAAGAGATTGTGTGATTTGGGAGTAAGTGTGAGTATTATGCCCTTGACGGTGGCAAGACGCTTGGGTTTTGAAAAGTTCAAGGAATGTCACTTTTCTTTGATTCTGGCTGATAGATTTGTTAAACTCCCAGTAGGCATGATTGAGGATATGTCACTCAAGGTGGGAAGTGTGATTGTGCCAACTGACTTTTTAGTAGTGGAAATGGATGAGGAACCCAAAGATCCATTAATTTTGGGAAGACCTTTCCTTTCCACTGCTGGAGAGATCATAGATGTGAGAAGGGGCAAGATTGAACTGAATTTGGGTCAAGATTACAAGATGGTGTTCAATGTCAAAGAAGTGATGAAGCAGCCACCTATCAAAGGCGAATCATTTTACATTGATACACTAAGAGCAACTAGCTGATGACTATTTGAAGGAGCTGAATGTTGAGGACAAGCTGCAGTTGGCACCGACCAAGGATAATGAGGAGTTTGTGTGCCTACAAGCAGAGAGTATGGGTTATGCTTGGATGTTGGACTCACACAGAGCAGTAAAAGAAGATATGAGTTTTGAGGAGTTGGTCTGGCTAGAAGCAGAAAGTGATCGGGATGACAATAGGGTTGTGAACCTGTTTGCTATATATATACTCAAATCCGAAAGAGGAGAGCTCACAAGAGCAGAACACAGACAGCGACTAGTCCGAGCTTAAGGCTCCTAAAGTCGATCTCAAACCTCTCCCAAAGGGGCTCAGGTATGCGTTCTTAGGCCCTAACTCCACATACTCTGTCATAGTCAATGACGCATTAACCCCTCATGAGCTTGAAACCCTCCTTGTTGAGCTGCGAAAGTACATGAGAGCTCTTGGTTATTCGCTTGACGATATCACGGGTCTCTGATATACCTCTAATTTACCCACTTTTTATACTGTTTTAGCATTGTTTTCTAATGGTTTTTGGCAGGTTTTCTATCTAAAAAGGTAGTTTTACTGTGTTTATAGTGTCTAGAGTCTAAACAGGTGAAATGATGCATTTTGGAGCAAAACCATAGGATTTGCACTTCAAGCAGCTCCATGCACAAGCACCAACTTTAAGAGGGCCCAGAAAAAGATCTACTCAATGGATTTCATCAAGACCAGTTCCCTGCGTGCTCTGATTGAGTTAACTTTCCAACGCAATTGGAATGGCCTCATTTGGATGAGTAGAAAAGGAGTTACAACCAAAAGAGTGAAGACTGTCCAGACGGCTCTATCGAGAATCAGCGCCCAACCGCGCAGTCCGGCTGGCCGAGGAACGAATGTTCCGCGCTCGGCCAAACCGTATCCGTCCGACTGAAGTCTCGGCCAAAGTCCAAACCACTCGGCCGATCACGCAGCACGACCCGGGAAACATTGCCCGCGGTCGGCCAAGCCACGCCACGCCACACCGCGCACGACCAAAGCGCGCGAGCCGGGAAACAAGCCTCGCGGCCGCGCAACCCTTCCGCGTACCACGGCCGATGCATCCGTCCGAGCCGGGAAAGAACGTCCCACGTCCGGCCGAGAATTTCATCGGCCAAATCTCATCCGCTCGACCACGCCGGCCGACCGCGAATCCGTCCGACCCCGACCGTTCCGACTCGGCCACGACCCGATGTCCGGCCGATCGTCCCGCACGACCGTCCCAACGCCGCGGTCGACCCGAAGCCCTTTTTGAAGCCCAAACTTATGTTTTCAAGCCCGGCTTAACCCTAAGCCGCCTCTAGAAAGACCTAGCACTATATATATGGATTTTTAGCCTCTTGAGAAAGAGAGCCGCCCTGTATTTCGATTTCCTACTCTAAGTTTTATTGCAATCATGTTTTCTTCATCTCTATGTGTGTTTGCTTTGATCATGTCTGAGTAATCCACTAGTTAGGTTGCTAGGGTTACTATTCAATGAGTTGCTTGCATGATCTTTGATTTCAATGATTAGCTAGGGATTATATTAGAGTCTTTGTCTCGTCTTGTGCACTTAACTAATGCTGATTGCTTTACCGCGCATCTAGTAATCCGATCTTAGGTTGATTTGAGCCTCGACAGTGCTGTATCATTCGCCGGACATATTCTTTGACAAGCTAGGTTTCTTAGACTGCGAAAGTTGATCTATCTATATCTAGTGAACTGTATCAGAACCTATTCATTCTAATGCTTGATCTAATCACCTAGGGACATACCAAAAGTTTAGCGACTAGGTAGATTAGCAAAGGAGCCGGAGCCTCGAAAGTGGAATGGTTTTATATTCGTGATCTGTGTTCTAGATGGTTCTTAATATCCCAATATCCCTAATCAATTAATCTATCATTGTTTCATTGATCATTGCTTGCTTCTCTGCGATAGCCCCTATGACCTAGCGCTTTTCCTTTATTGCTTACAACCTCGTTATACTTGCTAGTTCGGTTCACCATTACAACCTCAATCATACTTTTGTTTTAGCTTGATCCAAAATCCATAGTTACAAAGTGTACTCAATAGCCAGTCCTTGTGTTCGATACCCATACTTCCGCGATCTGTGCACTTGCAGAGGTCTAGGAGTTTGGTAAAACCTGACTCCGCATCAAGTTTTTGGCGCCGTTGCCGGGGACTGCAGCAGTACCTTTGGAACTCGACTAGGATCTAGTCTAGAACCTTTTCCTGTTTTACTTTTCTTTTGCTTTTGAATTTTTAGTTTTTGATTTCCTTTTCTTTGATTTTTGCTTTTGTTTTTGTTTTTCCCTTTTAGTTTAACTTGTTTCCAAGACTCTTTTCAGGTGCATGACTAGGAGGTCCAACAAGGACAACCTAGTTGAACATCCAGAGATAGACAAGCTTGAGAAGCAACTTAGGAAGCAAAAGCCCAAGAGATGGCCGACGAAGCAGCTCGCGCTCACGCCGCTGAAGTGGCGCGCGCTCAAGAAGAAGGAAGAGATCCACCTCCTCCTCCTCCTAATCCACAAGACCCTGCTGGAGATGTGAATGCACAACCCCAAGCTGGAGCACCTACAATCGGAGACTATGACTCTGCCGATGCTTTCTTCATGGATAGAAACCCTATCCATCCACCACCTTCCTGCAAGGAATGACTATGAGATCAAGCCTCAGATCATTGCATTGGTTAGACAGAACCAATTCAATGGACTTCCAGCTGAGCACCCTCTTGATCACATAGAAAACTTTGAAGAAATTTGCAGCACTACAAGATCCAATGGAGTCTCTGCTGACTACCTTAAGTGCAAGCTCTTTTCATTCTCTCTTGGCGACAAAGCTTCAAGATGGTTGAAGTCTCTGCCAGCTCACTCCATCACCACTTGGGATGAGTACAAGGCTGCATTCATCAACCACTTCTACACCAAACAGAGATCAATTTCTGTGAGAAACAAGATCTCCACTTTCGCCAAGCAACAATGAATCTTTCTATGAGGCGCTAGATCGATTCAAGGAGTACATTAGGGACTGCCCTAATCATGGTTTCAATGAGGGAAACCTATGGAACATCTTCTATCGTGGCATAGACCACAAGTACAAGCTTTCATTGGATACAGCAAGCAATGGAAACTTCATGACCAAGACTGTTGATGAAGCTAAGGTTCTTATTGAGAATCTTGCAGCTAGTGATTGTAACAACTGTCCTGATTATGACCGCTCAAGCCGCACCACTACTAGCTCCCCTGATTCTTTTCAAATGACTGAACTCAAGAACATGATGGCTCAAGTTCTTAAGGGACAGCTCAAGCATATCAATGCAATAGAAGGGATGAGTGATGCTAATGAAGATTCATCAAGAGAATGCATGGGAGATTTCTCTAATGAAGCCAATGAAGAAGATGTGAACTACATTGGAAACTATGGGAACAAGGGATACAATCCAAGCTATCGCCCAAACCCCAACATGTCTTATAGAAACCCCAATGTGGAGAATCCTCAAGACCAAGTGTATCCTCCAAGGTATCCACAACAACAAAGACCTCCTTACCAATCTCAAGGAAGTCAATTTCAGCCAAGGCAAGGATATGAGCAGAGATCATCATATCCGCCCAAGGAGCCATATGCTTCTTCACCAAATCAAGCTCCTCCAAACCAACAAGGTGGGAGATTTGAAGGAATCCTCCAACAGATCATGGATGGCCAGAAGAGAAACACTAAAGAGATGTATGAGAAGATGGACACTTTGTTCAGCAATCTCAACACCAAGTATGATGCTGTTGCCACTCATGTGAAGAAACTAGAGACTCAAGTCACTCAAACTATGGAAGCTGTTAAGAGACAGGAAGCTGAATCCAAGAAGTCCTTTTGCAACTCAGCCGCCATAGAAGAAAGATTTGAAGACCAAGTTCCAGAATGGATGCTTTCAAAACCTACTGTTGATTGCATGATTTGGCCTGAAGAGAATTACCCAGAGAGAGAGTCCAATCGAGCTAGAAAGAGAAGACTCTTCCCAAAGATTATCCCCAAGACAGATAACTCAGGAAAGTTTGTGTGCCTTGTATCATCAAAGGTAACATTCTTGAGCAATCTTTGTGTGACACAGGAGCCAATGTGAACATCATGTCTAAGAGGATAGCTGACAAGATAGGCCTCACCAAGATAGAGCCATCATCCATCTCCATCAACTATGCTGATTCATTCTCACAAACCCCTATGGCTTTGTGCCTAATGTGATGGTGCAGATTGGAAATTGCTCTATCCCTACTGATTTCCAGATTGTGGAAATGAGAGAGAGTAGCCATAGACCTCTCATATTTGGAACCCCTTTCCTGTCTACTGTGGGTGCCATATTTGATTTCCCCAATCAAAGAATCTCTTTCAACAAGGTGAACAAGGGTATGTTCTTCCCTATGTGTTCAACAAAGAACTCTTTTGTTGACATGGTCCAAGAGGAGAAAGCTACTTTGAAGCCACCCCAAGAAGGAGAAACTGAAGAAACAATCAAGGAAGATCCCATTCCTAAGCCCAAGCAGCTTGCCAAACAAGCAAGGAGTAAGACTAAGGCCCCTACACCAAAACCGCCCAAGGGATCAACCAAGATTGAAGATGAGGCCAAGCCAAGAAGGAAGGTTAGAAAACCTAGGTCTGGCCGCAACATGAAGCTTCTATTCCCAAAGGAGCTTATTGATGAGAATCTAGAAGGATTCAAGGAGAAAGTGACAAGAACTCTAAAGCTTTTTCCTAAGGCAGTAGTGCCAAGGGACATTCATGGAGAGATTGTCTATCCAGCTGTGAATCACCCACCAGATACTCATTGCAAGGAGAAAAGACTTGGAGGATCAAGATGCCTCTTGTCTCCATCTTCTCCTGAGCGCCAAGCCTTACAGTCAAGCTAAAGACTTAAAACAAGCGCTGCATGGGAGGCAACCCATGAGGTACTTTTACTTTTCTTTCTTTAATTTTCTTAGTTTTTGTTTTGCTTTTGTGTTTTCTTTGTTTTAAGATAGGATAGAAGGAGAAAAAGGTGTGAAAACACAATCCGCGCCAAAACATTGGCCGCGGACGCGCAAAGAGAATTTTGGCCGAGCAATTCCAATCTGGCCGACCGTACGGTCGAGCCGGGAAGGAATAAGCCGTGCTCGGCCGGATCATCTACTTGCGCGACAGAAACGTTCGCGCACGCACGAACCGGGAAAGAGGCCGCGATCGGCCGAAATTTTGTATCGGAACGGACCGACCGTGCCGGTCGATCCGGGAAACAAACGATCGGCCTCGGCCGAAATTCTCTCGCCAAAACAATTTGGCCGACCAAATCGCTCGACCGCGACAAAATCCATCGGCCATCGGCCCAAAACTTTTCGGCCAAGGTAAGTCCCCTTTTCATTAATTCAAACCGGTTTTAACCAATCTAAACCAACTTAAACCGGTTTTCAATCAAAATTCGAATTTGAAAAGGAAAATTGATAGGATTTAGATCTTATTTACTTCACCTTTCCCTTGAAAACCACAAGAACCTCTCTTTCTTCTCCAAAACCCTAAACTCCATTAGAGGAACTCTAAGAGTTTTGATTTCAAAACTTTTACTGTTCATAACTCTAAATTGGAATTTACTTGCTCTTGCAACCTTATTCACTTTTCAACACACAAGGTATGTCTTCTAACTCTAATCCTATGTTTATGCAAGATCGAAAATCTCAATAAGTTTCATGTTTGGTCTAAACTCTTGTCTAGACTTGAAATTAGCATCCTTATAGTCTTGTAATGAACTTTGCTAGGTGGAACCTAGGTGGTTTAGAGTTAATTTGAAGTTTAATTTCACAATTGAATAGTTTTTCACAAAACTTATTGGGCATTCCAAACCCCTTATTCAAAGGTGAAATTGCTTAGGCATACTTCAATTCATTAGTTTATCTAGTGATTACTTGGATTAGAAACTCAATTTCTCTTGATTTGCTGAAAATTTTGATTTTAAGCACCATAATCTTGGGATGAACAGTAAAATCCGAAAATTAATTTTGAAAAAGTGAAATTTCTATTTTGTCTCTTTGATTCATGATTAAGCCTTGAGTTGTTCCTTTATTCCATATCATTATTGCAACTCAATTAGCTTATTCTTCTTTTGCATTAATCACAAACTCATATTTCTTCCCAAGAATTTGCTCTTGTAGGTACACCAATGGCAAAGACAAAAGGAAATGAGAGTATGAAGAAGAAGAAGAACCCATTCATGGAACCACCAAAGAAGCAAATCAAGCTAGGGAGTAGTAGCTCCAATGCAAGAGCAGCAATACCAACTTCACCACATTCCATTGATGCAATCAAGAACATGTGGAGAGTCCAAGAGAGGAGAAGATGATTGGGCACTTGTAACCTTTGTTGGAGAACAAAATCAAGACCCAAGAAAGTGTAAGAAGGCAATGGAGAAGGTGAACATCGAGCCATGTGTGAAGATGGACACCCAAACCCTTGATCTTCTCAAGATAAGAGATGATGTCACATGGTACATAAGGAAGCTAGGCTTGAGCAAGCTCTTCAAGCTAGAATGTAGTGAGTACTCACAACTCACCAAGGAGTTCCTCTCTACAGTAGCTCTTGCCTTTCCCAACCACAATGGAGACCAACCAGCTGGTGATGGACTCCTACTCTTCAAGATAGGCGATGCCAATGGGCGCATATCCATCTCAGCTCTATGCCAACTCTTTGGACTTCCCAATGAGACAGCACATGACTTCAAGGAGAACTCAAAGAGGAAACAAGCTGCCTTTGCTGATTGGACACACTTTGCCAATGAACCATTCTTGCCTTCAAGGTCAAAGGTGTCTAGAATCACTCATCCAGCCATTCGCTATGTGCACCGCCTCATCTCCACCACTTTCCAATGCAAACAAGAAGCCAACAAGGTCACAACTGATGAGTTCTACATCCTCACCACACCATTCATCAAGCATGAGTACAAGGCCAACCTTGGACTTTTACTTGCCAAGACATTCATCAATGTGAGGAAGCTAGCTAAAGACTTGGAAGGCAACAAGAAGCTTTGTGTTCGTTTTGGGAGGCTTATCACGGCCATAGTACTGCATGTGGGGATTGACATTCCCAACTATGAGCCACTACCCAAGCCAACCCCTTTGGATCTCCATGCTCTTCAGCACATCCACTTCCTAAACCGTTGGACTAAAGACCCAACTCGGTTTTGCTATGAGTTTCCAATTGGTCCAGCCAACACTTCCCTTGTCTTGCTGCCACATGAGACATCCCAAGCCTACGCTCAGGAGTTGTCACTTTCCAGCCCAATGAGGAAGAGTTCTATGTTCCATCAAGTGAGAAACCATCATTCCCCATGCTCACCTATCGCACACTTCAGCATGCAGTCAAGACTCAACGCCGCATCCAAGAACGCCATGTTCTCACTACTGGCATGGCTGCGCACCAAGCTCTAGACCGTGTTAACAAGCTGGAGAAGATAGTGGAATGCCAATCTCGCTTCATCTCGCGCCTAGTCCGCGTAGTTCGCCACATTGCACCGGAGAGACTCTTTCGCCCTTCTTCCACCGCTAGAGAGCCATATGAGCCTGACCTTGGTGAGTTCTCACTAGACTCAGAGCTTGGTTCAGAAGGCGATGACCCCATAGATGAGGAAGAGAGTTCTTCTCACTGCCACACATAGTCATCTCAAGTGGTACTTAGTGCAATGGACACTTACAAATCTCCATTTTCTATCCCTATCTCATTTTAATGAATTTTTCTTTATTTTTCTTTTACTTTGAATATTACCTCTCACCTTAATGTGATTTGCTTTCACCGGGACGGTGCAAGTTAAGTCTGGGGGGAGTTTTATTGTGTTACTAATGCATTTTTCTTTCTTTTCTTATGTTTTATTCACTTTGTTTCATGTTTTTCAAAAAGTTTTATTGAGTCAAAAACCAGTCCGGAAGTTATGAACTTGCTTTGAGAATTGAGAGTGTTATGCTAACAATCCATGACCCTAGAGCAGAAACCAGCTAAAGGCACAAGCCTAACAGAAGCTCTTACAGTGGATCGACATGCTAGCTCAGCAAAATTTCTAAGGTAACCAAGCAATCTAGAGTTAACCTCACCTTAATCAATCTTAATTACTCTTGTCAAGGGGGTTGGCATACATGTCGACAGTTCCTTGCTTGATTTTCAATAAGATTTGTCTAATCTTTAAAGAGTTCTCCTCTCTCTCCCATCCCAAATGGTAAGTGATTTATGAGAAAAAGCTCAAAGAGCACAAGGAAAACAAGTAAGCATGAGGAATGCATATGTCTGTACCTTCATGTCTTATGGAATACCTTAGTCAAACAAGGAACAAGCTAAAGACTTATCCTGTGGTTGAAAGAAGGGTCAATAGAAAAAATAAAATGATACCCTAGAAAAGTAGGGAGAAATTGACCTTTCAAAGTTCTGATGTGAGAAAGAGAGAGGAAAAGAACTCATTGCACTTAAAGAGGCAATCTTGGAGAGGATCAAGTGGGTAAGAACAAGTTCAATTGATCGATGTCCCCTTGATAAAGAATTCACGCTTTAAATTTATGCAAGAGGTTAGCAATAGAGAGTTTGGATTGCTGGATGAGACTAGTTGGGTTGGTATTGTTCGCTAAACTTGCAGGGTGTATGTGAAGCTAACCTTATGTTGTCTATGTTCATAGTGGAATACAGGAAAGGAACCTTTCACAGGATATTCAAAAGAGCAAGGGAGCTTCCACGTTTTCAAACCTCTTTCACGGATTTAGATTCTTTTTGCTTGAGGACAAGCAAAGATCTAAGTCTGGGGGAGTTGATATACCTCTAATTTACCCACTTTTTATACTGTTTTAGCATTGTTTTCTAATGGTTTTTGGCAGGTTTTCTATCTAAAAAGGTAGTTTTACTGTGTTTATAGTGTCTAGAGTCTAAACAGGTGAAATGATGCATTTTGGAGCAAAACCATAGGATTTGCACTTCAAGCAGCTCCATGCACAAGCACCAACTTTAAGAGGGCCCAGAAAAAGATCTACTCAATGGATTTCATCAAGACCAGTTCCCTGCGTGCTCTGATTGAGTTAACTTTCCAACGCAACTGGAATGGCCTCATTTGGATGAGTAGAAAAGGAGTTACAACCAAAAGAGTGAAGACTGTCCAGACGGCTCTATCGAGAATCAGCGCCCAACCGCGCAGTCCGGCTGGCCGAGGAACGAATGTTCCGCGCTCGGCCAAAGTATCCGTCCGACTGAAGTCTCGGCCAAAGTCCAAACCACTCGGCCGATCACACACACGACCCGGGAAACATGTCCCGCGGTCGGCCAAGCCAACGCCACGCCACACCGCGCACGACCAAAGCGCGCGAGCCGGGAAACAAGGCCTCGCGGCCGCGCAACCCGTTCCGCGTACCACGGCCGATGCATCCGTCCGAGCCGGGAAAGAACGTCCCACGTCCGGCCGAGAACTCATCGGCCAAATCTCATCCGCTCGACCACGCCGGCCGACCGCGAATCCGTCCGACCCCGACCGTTCCGACTCGCCACGACCCGATTGTCCGGCCGATCGTCCCGCACGACCGTCCCAACGCCGCGGTCGACCCGAAGCCCTTTTTGAAGCCCAAACTTATGTTTTCAAGCCCGGCTTAACCCTAAGCCGCCTCTAGAAAGACCTAGCACTATATATATGGATTTTTAGCCTCTTGAGAAAGAGAGCCGCCCTTGTATTTCGATTTCCTACTCTAAGTTTTATTGCAATCATGTTTTCTTCATCTCTATGTGTGTTTGCTTTGATCATGTCTGAGTAATCCACTAGTTAGGTTGCTAGGGTTACTATTCAATGAGTTGCTTGCATGATCTTTGATTTCAATGATTAGCTAGGGATTATATTAGAGTCTTTGTCTCGTCTTGTGCACTTAACTAATGCTGATTGCTTTACCGCGCATCTAGTAATCCGATCTTAGGTTGATTTGAGCCTCGACAGTGCTGTATCATTCGCCGGACATATTCTTTGACAAGCTAGGTTTCTTAGACTGCGAAAGTTGATCTATCTATATCTAGTGAACTGTATCAGAACCTATTCATTCTAATGCTTGATCTAATCACCTAGGGACATACCAAAAGTTTAGCGACTAGGTAGATTAGCAAAGGAGCCGGAGCCTCGAAAGTGGAATGGTTTTATATTCGTGATCTGTGTTCTAGATGGTTCTTAATATCCCAATATCCCTAATCAATTAATCTATCATTGTTTCATTGATCATTGCTTGCTTCTCTGCGATTAGCCCCTATTGACCTAAGCTTCTCCTATTGATTGATTACAACCTCGTTATACTTACT